GCACCATTGTGTGTAACAATAAACCAAATTTTTTTTTAACAAATAATGCACCTGTATGGGAAAACAAATCCTGTCAGCTGTAAAAATATTGATGCAGTTATTTAAATGAAAAATATAATGAAAGAAATATTACTGGTTTATTTTTATCCTATCTTTTTGTACTGTACAGTATATCCAAGGAAGTGAAAAATTGAGACAATGCACAATTTAATGAATGATTAGCATGGATTAGCAGTTCAAAAGAAATATGACTTGTATTACATATCAACATGAGATCTTAATGATCCATGGTCAACATGATTTAAGAAGGATAATACAGTACTGTATTTGTAATAATACAAACTATAATTTAAAATCTTTATTACTGATTTTTTTTATTAAGAAGATTAGGTATACACAGCAATGTGCTGCTACCCTATTCTATATGGAATATTACACAGTGTAGATAAAAAACTAGCTATATGTTTATCTAATACTCCCATCTCACAGGATGGTTAGACATACTGTACATGGAATCAATTTAGAAAATACCAGCCTCAATACAAAAAACAAATCAACTCTGACTAAACAACTCTAAGCAATTTTCACAAGAGGTAAGCACTGAATCATGGAAACATTATATTATAATTACTCTTACCAGTTTCTACAACACTCCTCTCAAACAATGTATTTTTAAACATGTTTAGGTATACACAGCAATGTGCTGCTTCCCTATTCTGTATAAAGGACCACACAGTGTAGATCAAAAACCAGCTACAAGCTCACCCAACATCCTCACCTCACAGGATGGCCAGTCATACATGGAATTAGGAGAGAACAAAATACTTAATGCTGATCTATTAGCCTCCACTGGCAAAATCTGGGTGCAGCACAAGAATATCTTCCAATATTCCTGAGTGTATGACGTAATTACAGAGCTCAAAATACCTCATACCATTTGGTATGAAGTCACTGATAACAGGACAATCACAGATATAGTGTTGGAGAGTATGTTCTCTCAAGTAGGACTGAAAACAGATGTTTTTTTTCCACCAAGAGGGCTATAAACCCATGGAACCGCCTACCCGCTGAAGCCGTAAATGCCAAATTCCAGCTAAAAAATATCATTAAGACAATTGGCGGGCCCTTTAACAAGCCGCCGGCTTTCTGTCCTCTTCGAGGTCACTAGATAGTTAGTGGCCCTTGGGTAAATTCAGTAAATATATACAATAATTGTCAGCGCATCTTCCGAGCAACAAGGACAGCTACACAGTATCTCTTAGAATTACGTAGGTAAACAACAAATGTAACATATTTGTTTACTACAATGTCGGTGCTGGCTGTAGAAGTTGAAAAAACATTGTTTTACTTCGAAATATACTAATTTTATAAGAAAATTCGACGTAAATAGGAGGCAGTAGAGCTCCGATAAGCCAGCGCTAAATCTTCAATATGAAGAATGTTGCTGCTCTCTGATTGGCCAAACGAAACGGGTGTACAATTTAAAATGTTTCGTGTACTTAGCGTGTACTGTACTTTCGTGTACTGTTTCGTTTCGTGAGTTAGCCACGGCTATGTTATACATTTGTTAAGTCCTATTTAGAAGCCTGTTTTACTTCTGCAGAATTATTTATCATGTCAATAAACTTACGCCCCCATGAGTTGGTGTCTTCCTTCCCCTGATCAGAAAATATGCATTTTGATAGTTACAAAGACAGCTCTTTAACACGGGTGGAACACGAACAAGGGGAACTTAGTACCCAAATGAGCCACAGAGATATTAGAAAGAATTTTTTCAGTGTCAGAGTAGTTAACAAATGGAATGTATTAAGCAGTGATGTGGTGGAGGCTGACTCCATACACAATTTCAAATGTAGATGTGATAGAGCCAAATAGGCTCAGGAACCTGTACACCTGTTGATTGACGGTTGAGAGTCGGGACCAAAGAACCAAAGCTCAACCCCTGCAAGCACAAATTAGGTGAGTACAACTAGGTGAATACAGCTGAGGGGCGGGACCAAACAGCTGAAGCTCAATTCCCTACGCATAACTAGGCGAGTCCATAGGAATTACCGTTTGTCCTGGCGCCATCTATGTTTTGACAGCAGTACTACTAATGTTCCCATGTTATGTGATGATCGCTATACGGTTGTTAGTCACCCCGCCGGGAGAACCAGCCAGAACACGCCAAAAAATACTCTATCACCAATCCCGTGACCCAAGGCGATATGTGCGCCAGGCGTCGAACAACCGGACCGTTGAATAGGGATGCCCAACGGCAGTAGCAAAGCCAAACCGCGAAAACAAGACGTGATCAGGCGGCCCCCAAGGGGAGGAGGTGTCGACCAGACGTCTGCTCGACTTCAACGTTGAACCAAGAGCTTGTTGTTAATTCAAGGACCTACGGAAACGTTCGTAAATAGGGATTCTACGTCTAGAGATGCTATGATCCCTTCTGGTATAGTCATCTTCACTATGTCTAAGAAATTATGTTAAACTATGTTCGGGCAGTCCCCGTGGTGTAGTGGTAAGACACTCGCCTGGCGTTCCGCGAGCGCTATGTCATGGGTTCGTATCCTGGCCGGGGAGGATTTACTGGGCGCAAATCCATAACTGTAGCCTCTGTTTAACGCAACAGTAAAATGTGTACTTGGATGAAAAAAACGATTCTTCGCGGCAGGGAATCGTATTCCAGGGACCTGCCCGAAACGCTACGCGTACTAGTGGCTGTACAAGAATGTAAAAACTCTTGTATATATCTCAAAAAAAAAAAAAAAAAAAAAAAATCGGGGACTGATTTCAAGGTGTAGTTATTGGGTACATATGGAGTCAGTATAGTGTTGAGTCGTTTAGCTAGACAATACGTACGTGGGTGTAGGGGCTGATGATGGGTCGACTTGAGGGTGTTGACATCGTAAGTATATCCTAGGTTGTAGATGGACCTTTACAGGTAGATGCTGCATTTTTTTTAGCATTAACTGCATCGATTATGTGGTTGACTTTCTTCTTGATATCTTCTGTTGGGTTTTAAATAAATAAATAAATAAATATGTTTATTCAGGTAAGGTACATACATACAAGTGATGTTACATTAATGGATCAATATATAGATAGAGCTAGTACATACAATGCCTAAAGCCACTATTACGCAATGCGTTTCGGGCAGGAAAAACATTAATATCTAGAACTTAATACTAATTGAGCATAAAGAATAAAATGTGTTGAGAACAAATACAAATAAAGATAAAAAAAAGGGGGAACATGACTGAAAAGCAGCACAAATACAATAGGTTGACAAACAGTGTTCATTAAAAAAAAATATAACAGACATGGGTTGACAATAGAGGGGTAAGGTAGGTTACAGGGAATTTATTAGGTAGTGTTTAGTTTTTATCTTAAACTGGTTGAGAGAGGTACAGTCTTTAACATGGTTGGGAAGGTCATTCCACATTCTGGGCCCCTTGATTTGCAGAACATTTCTAGTTTGATTAAGTCGTACTCTAGGAATATCAAAACTGTATTTATTTCTGGTGTAGTGCTCATGGGTTCTGTTACATCCTTCTATGAAGCTTTTGAGATCAGGATTGGCATTATAGTTTAGCGTTTTATGTATGTATAATACACATGAGAGGATGTGCAGTGACTTAATGTCTAACATATTCAGAGATTTGAGTAGGGGTACCGAGTGACCGAGTGATGTCTGGGGCCAGAGTTGGATATTGTCCTAAAAGCAGCTTTGTGTTGAGTAATTAGAGGACGTAAGTGATTTTGGGTAGTAGAGCCCCAAGCACAAATACCATAGTTGAGATATGGATAGATAAGGGAGTAATAGAGAGTCACCAGGGCAGGGCGTGGTACATAATATCTGATCTTAGAAAGAATGCCCACAGTTTTTGAAACTTTTTTTTATATATTTAGAATGTGTCCCTGGAAATTCAGCTTGTGGTCAATGAGAATGCCAAGGAATTTGCCATCTAATTTGTTACAAATTTGGGTATTGTTTATTCTGAGATTTATTTGATTAGAGGATTTATTGCCAAACAGAATATAGAAAGTTTTGTCAATGTTAAGGGTGAGTTTGTTGGCAGTTAGCCAAAGATGGACTTTATTTAGCTCAGTATTTACTGTGGCATTTAGAGCAAGGGGGTCAGGACTGGAGTAAATGAAGGTTGTGTCGTCAGCAAATAGAATTGGTTTGAGGTGTTGGGAGGCATTTGGAAGGTCATTAATGTAGATGAGAAAGAGGAGAGGGCCAAGTATGCTGCCCTGAGAAACACCAATGTTGATGGGTAGGGTGGGAGAAATTGTATTATTCACAGAAACATATTGGAGCCTGTCAGTAAGGTAGGATTTGAGGTATTGCAGGGAGTGTCCTCTGACTCCATAATGATGTAATTTAAGAAGAAGGTTTTGGTGGTTGACAGTATCAAAAGCTTTACGCAGGGCCACAAACTGGTAATCCTCTTGAATTTGGTCTCATCTTGGAGGATTTCTTTTAGTTTGGTGATACATTGATCAGTCGGGATGAGGACGAAGGCTGTAGTTTTATCGGCTGTCCGGACAGTGATATTCACCATGGACTTAAATTGCTGCTTCTTTGTGTTTATTATCTAGGGTGTTACTCTTGTAGTCTCCTTTGGAAAACATGTATACGCAGATAGACGGAGTGGCCATAGGGTCCCTACTAGGAGTCCCCTTTGCTAACTTCTATATGGAAACAATAGAAGACACCATCTTCAAAACCACCGGGAAACCTCGCATCTACTGCAGATACATTGATGATATATTCGTATTGGTGAAAGACCTCCAGGAACTGTCGCGATTAAAGGATCTACTTATCCGAAATTCAGTGCCTAACTTGACCCATGAGCTAGGAGGCATCGATGGTGCACTCCCTTTTCTCGATGTCTACGTGAAGGGGGGGGGGGACCGAAATGACGTCAGGGGGGGCCGAGATGACGTCGGGGAAGGGGGGGACCGAGATGACGTCGGGGAAGGGGGGGACCAAGATGACGTCAGGGGGGGACCAAGATGACGTCAGGGGGCCCGGCGAGCACCAGGTCAGTGTCCAGCCTGCCAGCGGAGGTGACGCGTGCTGGTGTAAACATTAACTGTTCTTTACGTCTTTAACGCTTATGTTGGTAATTATTTTCTTATATTTTTCCCCTTTGCTCTCCAATCTGTTGGTGACCTTACATGCGTAAACTTTCTCGTCCTCAATAATGTAAATCTGGCTTTTGCAGACTTTTACTTAAATGTGAATTACTGTAACATCTTTGCAACTCGGTAATTGGTTCTCCAGGTAGTTTATACTTTACACGTTAATTCTCTTTGTATTTACGTGTCACCGTTAATGTTCTTGGTTGTGGGTGGCATTGGCTTCTGTAACTACTTCCTTAAGTGCAAGTAAACTACCCGTAGACTGAACGACTTCCTTGCATCTCTTGACACTAGCTACATCAGCCTCCACTACTGGACCCTTATGTTTTTTTTCCTCTGTCCCCTAGTCCGGGAGTGGAATTATTTACATACCTACATAATTTTACTTGAATTGCTTATTTAGAAATTTGCGTGAGGTGGTATACTGTGTACCCGTTGATCCCACAGTGATGGTTCCCAGTATGGAGCCTGGGAGGAGGGGGACCATGGTGGCCCTCTTGATGACTGCTACCATGATGACTGTGGTGGTGACGACGGCACAAGAGACTCTACTAACGTCGCCAGACCTGCGGCTTAAGGTAAGACAAACCTACATGTGTTAACACTTGCTGAGATAGACAAATATTAAGCTGGGTAACTAGCTGTAGGTTGGCGTGTGTGTTCCCTAATGAGCACAAATCCACAAAGGCCGTAAAGAGGGTTCGAACCTACTTCCGGGATGATCCCAGACGCACCTTAGTCTGGGATCAATCTTATTAGTTATCAATCTAACCATTTATTTAAGCCACTGGTCTAGGCATTATTCTCCTTTGAAGCAAAATAATTCTTCCCCCCCCCCCCCTTTTTTCTAAATTTTTGAAGGTTCCATAATTCCGGCAGTCTTTGATGGCAGAAGAGGGCAGCGCACTGGACACCCTGCAAGACCTTGATGTATACATGGACTCTCTGGCGGACTTTGCACGCCTCTACATCTCGAAGGCCTTCACTGAAGAAGCTCGCCGTTATCGTCGGGGTAACTTTTGTTTAGTGAAGGCCATAACTTGATTGGGGGGGGGGGGAAAACTCATAACCAAATAAAAAAAAATTATTTAACATCTTTACATTCTTACGATATTGGTGTTTCAGCTTTAGACATTGCGTCTGTGAAGGTAACTGGGTCGGAGGTAGAAAAGTTTGAGCTGGAGGAAGCTCCTGGGGACACGGTCTCGTGGACGAAACATGTGACTGGCGTGCACCGTCTGACCCACCAAGGCTACTGTTACTGGATCCTAGGCGCTCCCAGGTCAGTGGCGAGGTCTTCTTTAACCGGGAGGCTGGCTATACTGACCATCTAGCTAGGAAACTCGCTCGATAAGAGTGCACTTTAACTTCAATCCGATGATAGGGATTGACACTTAAATTAGAATGTAGAAATCTGAGTGCGGCTAGTTGTAAATGAAGGCGGTGATGTGTTGGTAATTGGTGCCTTTTACATAGTTTTTATTAGTAGTTATTAGTCGTTATGTAAGAGCAGCTGCTGGCTTGGAAGAGGGGCCACGCCGTCTCCGTCCAGGTTTATATAACCTCGGCTCAATGCGCGCGCAGCTTGGGGCGGTTAAAGTCAGCTTCCAGACATACGTTCTCTTCCACTCGGAGAACCCACCGTTTTTGGGAAAAAGTGTTCTTTTTATTAGTTTAGATTGTTTGACACTAGTTCTCCTATTAGGCTTGAAGACCAGAGGGTTGTGGCTTGGTCTCCCGTCACCCGCTCCCTGAAGACCATAGCAAAGTTCCAGCTGACCTTCACCAGTCTCGCCATGGTTGACAAGATCGCAGTGAGTACTTCCTAGTCACCAGCCCAGCAAGTAAAACCTTTAAATACAGTATTGTCGGGGGACAGGGAACTTGTGTACGCTAGGCTTGTATAGAGCCGGGACCCCCAACCTCGGTCGAACTACTGACCCGCCTCAAAAGACCCATTCCCGAGTACCTATTTACTACTAGGTGATTGGAAACGCGCCCAACCATTTCTGTTCACTTGGGATTGAACCCGGAATTGCAGATTGAGTAAAGAAGGAACCAGACTGTGCTACCGGACCCTTTATAATAGTGATTAAGCCACTTTTATTAAGACTACGTAATAAAGTCGCTGTAACCACTTGGGCTGGACGGTAGAGCGACGGTCTCCGTTTCCTGCAGGTCGGCGTTCAATCTCAAGACTGTCAAAGTGGTTGGGCAACATTCCTTCCCCCCCCCCCATTCCATCCCAAATCTTTAGCCTGACTCCTTCAAAATGCTCCATAGCCGTAATGGCTTGGCGCTTTACCCTGATAATTCCCTTCCTCTTGACTAGACAACCAGATGTCTTGAGAGCACAGTTTAGTAACTGACGTGACTGCGTAATTTACTTTAATTTAATCTATGAATAATACCTCGTGAAGCAGAGGTTGTGGTAGAGATCAGTACTTGCACGTACTCGTAACTTTCATACTCTTCCGTGTTAGCCATAACTAGTGTCTCCTCCTCGCCAGGCTCGTGTGCACTCTGGCTTCCTTGTCCTCGCTCTGGGGTCCTCGGAGTCGAGGTTTGTAAGCATAGTGTGCATTAATCTGCTGACGGGGCAGCTGCAGATGCCTCAAGTTATTCCTTCGAGGGGTGTAGTGGGGGACCTGCACTTGTTCGAGGCTCTGGCCAAGCTGTACTTGGTGGTGGGGGAGAGTTACTACACCACCCCGGGGGACGGCGCCGCCCACTCTGCGTGAGTACAGTTTCAAAAGTAAATCCTTAGCAAAGTAACGCTTAAAATATTTATTAATAACTCTGTTTTTATTAATAATTTACTTTAATAGTGTTAACTAGGCTTTCAAAGGGCTTTCGAAGTTAAAATTGCTAGTTTTTTCCCCGTATCTAGATATTTAAGACTTAAAATAATCATTTGAACCTTTGACATGTCTGCGGCAAGAAGGCTGTGCATGGTTTTGAACTTTCATTCCGTAATGTCAAACTACGGACAAAATAGAGGACTTGTAGTAATTGGAGCAAGTGTTGTAGTGGTGACTTAAACTTTACACAGGATGTACGTGATGGTCGGGGACTACTTCGACTACTTAGACGGCCTCCAGTTTAAGGCTTCTGGCGTGAGAGACATCACGGGTTTCGCAGATCGTGGCAACTATTACTTGATATTCGGCATGAAGTCTGTGGCAAGTATTGGAATAAAATACTATCGGTTCTTGATTCGTCGTCTATTAAAATTAAGCAGCTTAAAATGTAAAAATTATGGGTGATCCAGCGTAACTAATGCATTGGAATTTAAGAACACTGTACCACACGGAAATGACCTTCAATGTAAATTGCTGAAGGAAGACTTGACTTTCTCATAAAAGATTAGCGAGGCTTGTGAAATTATAATTATGCCCACATAAGTTCTCGGCTAAGAGTAAGGTTATGGTACTTGCAGGAGGGGTCGTGCTTGTACGAGTTCAACATGGCCCACGAGACCTTGACCCTAGTGCAGCAGGTGTCGGAAACGGACGTCTTGGGAGTCCTCCACTACACTGACAGTCATGACCACAAGCACTACGTGATCTTCGTCAGCACTAACGCGCCGCAGATCTATTGGTGGAGCAGTAAGTACACTGGAGAATATATTACACTAATGGGAGTGGACCCGCGTCCCTAGCCTCTTGTCTTATAACCTCCATATGTTAGGATGTAAATCACTCGTGATTGCATTCTTAAGTACCCAACCTATGGCATGTGACATTAAAAGGTGGGGGAGGGGGGGGGGGGGTTTACCCGGTAGTGCCCGGGAAGTCATTTTTCTAACTTTCTTCCCGTTCACTTTCCCACCATCTTCCCTTGGCCCCCATCTTCTTTGTCCCTGCCCCCTTTTCTTTCCCCTCGTTCTTCCCCATCCTTCCCCTCGTTCTTCCCCATCCTTCCCCTCGGTGTTCACCCCCCCCCCCCCCATCCTTTCACTTCCCTCCAGAAACCTCGAAGAGAGTCTGATGTTGATGTCTTCGGGGCGGACGGCAAGTGTTAATCTACGTTGATCACGCGCCACATTTTACACTTTTTTGGGGGGGGGGGGAGGTTGTAATTATGAGGCATTGTTAGTTGCCAATATTTCCTAATGAGCCTAACCTGACCAAGTTATAAGTTCGTCCCGTACCCCTGAACCAGTTGCTCCAAACAGTTGAGTAAAGGTAAACGGAAGCGTCTGGCCTCCAACTTCGGACAAAAATATTCTTGCTGTATAAATATTAAAATATTAGTGTAATTTCAGGTAACCAGCTGAGAAAGTGGCAAGTGTTGCAGCACCCGGCAGCTGCAGGAGTTGTCAGTAGTGTTGAAGTGCTGGCCTTGCCCAACCTTGAGAACATTATCTTCATCTCGTCTGGGGTACGTCTTGTTCCTTCATGTCGTCCTTACGCTCACTGTTGTCACCCTACACACTAAAAAATTGCTATCAATTCGTGGCTAGTTTAGATGGTATAATTATACCGTAAGTTTTAATGCAGTAATTATATTTGGAAAATTAAAATAATTGTCTTAAACTAGAAGGCTTCGCGTAACGTTCTCCAGACTTGGGAAAGAAAGAGATCTTGGGAAGGAACTAGTGTTAATCTGGTGCCCTGGGTTGCAGGCAACTATCACCTTGTACGGGGACGACCTGACGGGTCACTACTCGGAGAGCTTCTCCGTCCACACCGCCTGCCTCGCTGTCCACGACCTCCGTGCAGTCGCGCTCGGCTCAAGCTACTACCTCTTCTATGTTTGCGTCGGAGCAGTCAACAGATTAGAGGCCAGAGTTATCTACTTGCAAGATGTAGTGTTGGGCAAGTTCCCTTGCATTTGAGCTTTCTTAAAGTTGGTAAACACTGCTGGCATAAGCGTGATGTATACAAACATAAGTATGATTTATATGTAATTCAATAATTGAATTAACACTTTAAAGGCGAAGGGCACACGGAAGGAGATCCGCTGTTGAGGTGTCTGACGGAACTGACTCGTATGATGGACGAGCGGAAGGCTGATATTGCTTACTTGGAGGATGTGGTCGCCAAGGACTCCCTTATGACTGTTGACCATCCCCAGGCTAGTAACCTGCACGTGCTGTTGGGGAAGGTCGGCAGAGGGACCAGTGCTGAAGACCTAGTCAGCTAAGTAGGATAGGGGAGGGGCGGCAGAGAATAGGCGGGGAAAGTTCTTCAAAAGATTGAGCCAAGTTTAGTCTGTTTACTTTGCCACTTTGGCTATAGCTTCATTATGACACTAGAATGTTTAACAGACGTGACGTAAACATGTGCAGGTATGGCGTGGACCCGTGACGGTGCCGGAGGTGTCTGTGACGGGCAAGACGACAGCCGCCCACACCACAGTCGTCAGCTACTCTACCACCGCCATGACCACCAATCAGACTATGGAAGAATACAGAACTGCAGTAGCAAAGCTGCGGGTAATGCTTGAGGCTCGTCTAACAGATCTACGGGCAATGATTATGATATATAATTTTTTTTTTTAAAGGTTATCACGAACCTTAGTTTTCCTGCACTAGATCTAAAGTATCAGAATAGATATGTCTTGTTAATGAGGCTTCGCTTAGCTAAACTTGATTAATAATTACGTCCACAACGATACATAAATTTTTCCTGTAATGGTCTATAGTTGTTAACCATTAACAGAAGCAGAATTAATGAATCTACTGTTGATGACCTTGCCACAGTTTCTCTACCAGACTCTCTAAGCGAGGTAAAATGCAAGACTATATTGCAGAGTGATGTTGACGTGGTGAACGGTCAACTGTCGACGGTAATGTTCCACTCCGGGTCGCAGACCATCACTGGACCCATCACTGCCACTTCCCTCACTGTGGACAACCTCCACATGGATGGTCTACTGCTGAAAATGGTTCGTACTCTGAAGAGGGGTGGAAGGTGGGGAGTTAATAAAGCAGTTTGAATGATTCGTTAACCACCGCCTCGATAAGTATAATTTGCGTTAGTGATAACTAAAAGTAACCCACACATTCTTGGTATGTAAGCTAGGTGGTTTGTTCTACCACCAGGTGAATGGTGTTGCATTAAATAGAATTGGACAAGAGTTCCTAGTGGACGGTGTGGACCAGACCATTGAAGGCTTGTGGCATGCTGACCACCTCTTCGTGGACACCTTCAGCACTCGCATCACCTCTCCCCCGGGCTCCATCTCTGGCAGCCTCACCACTGGTAAATATAGCGGCGTCATCTTTGTGCCAAACGATGGAGTAAAGGGAACTGTTAGGGTGGCAATACTTGAACATGTTCCATGGAGAGTTGTCTTTAGTTTTACATTTCGGAAATTTTCTTCCCACCCCCACTCTAAAAATAAAATTTTAACTTTAAGGCACTAATATTTCCCAAAAGGGAGGGAGAACTTGTCAAACTTTTTTTCCTTTGATAATTAAATGTCCAAATTAGTTGGAAATGGGTAGTGAGGCGTTTCCCTTGTCAGATTACATGCGTCGTGGGAGGCGCGGGCAGGTGGTGACTGGCCGCCACACCTACACGAGGCTATTGGCTGCACACGTATATCACAGGCTCTGCCACAACTTCTCCATCAACATTAATGGTGTAGAAACTGCAACAATAGTCACGCGGGGAGCCAACGTCACTTTCCTCGGCAAGAAGATTTTCGGTAACCTAACAATAGACGAGACCTTGGATGCCAACAGTATAAACTCGGTGAGTAACGATAGAAGATGTAGGGAGTCGGTGACCTTTTTAAATCGATAATGTTTCTGGCACTTAAAATCCTTATAAGAGTATAAAAAAAATTTGATTCTAAAGATTGAGTTTCAGATTGGAAGTATTTGTTGCATTGGTCTTTAATGACGGTTACTTACAGGTGATGGTTAAGGATATGGCGAGCCGGGTGGTGTACAAGGGTGTACCCGCCCTCCAGCTGTTAGTGGGCAACTACACCATTGGTAGCGTCTTGGTCAAGGGCAATGTTGCCGCAGCTTCCATCAACGGCATCAATGTTGTAGAGCTTGACAACAACGTCGTGAAGAAGCACGGAAGCTACAAACTGGCGGGTAAGATCTTTCTCGCAAACTATGTAATAAAATGTCTGAAAACTCCACTAAGGGTTAAAATATTTTCGGCCAGCATCAGGAGACTGCATATTTAGGTGCATTTCTTTTATACAAGTCATTCTGTTCGATGAACAGTAATTAAATGAAATTTCTAAATACTAAAAAAAAATCTTTGCCATTAGTGCAACTGTCGTAGCATAAACATTATTAATTTACGTTCAATGTTGCAGATTGTCGAAGAGATTTAAAATTTTCTTGCTAGTGGGGAAGTGTAGATATGATAAACATGAGGCTCCTTTGGTAACTGCATTTAACTGCGAATTTAACATGGCTGTTTCAGGCGGTCTGGTGTATAAGAAAGATGTAGTGGTGTCTGGGTCGGTGCAGGCAGACTCCATCAACGGAGAGTTATGGACCAACTTGGTGGACAGAAACTCTACAGACCTGATCACTGGAACCTACCACTTCTCTGATGTCACAATTACTGGTTCTTTAGACTCTAACAACATTAATGGCCTGGATTTGAGTAAGACAGTGGTGCTGATAGACGCTACCCAGACAATATATGGTTAGTACCGTTGCAATGGCTACTTGTGGCTAATAAGCAAGTACTTGTACAGGAGGACCATTTTTGGCTTGGTTAGTGCCAATGTTTTCACTTTTCGAGGGTTCAAGTAATATTGTGAAAGGAAAAAAAATGGGTGGGGGGGGGGTAGTTATGCTGAAATGTTTTGATACTTTGCTATGTAATTGTAGTGTCTACACAGAATTTTTCATACCAAGAGCAGGTGCATTAACTTTAATCTGATAGACGCGTGCTTGTCATTGTTTAATTAGCATGGTCTTGACGTTCAAAGTGTGAGTTTGTAAAGCTGTGAAATCTTTGCAGGACGCATAGTGTTGGAGGAGTCTGTGAGCGTGAGTGGCGCGGAAGGTGTGGTGCTGGAGGCCGGGGCCACCATAAACAATATCCGACCCTCCAGCCTACACCCTCCAACCCTAAACGGAACGCTTGTTATTGACCAAGACATTAGTTTCCTCGCACCTCTGCTAGTATGTATTTCATGTAACCTAAAGTTAAAATTATAAAGTTTTTAGAATCTTGGTTATTCTTAGTTTATGGTCTTTTAAATTAATACATTTTTTAATATTGCGTGAAGAGTTCTGAAAGATGCGCTATCAATAGCCTAGTCTTGTCTTTAGTTTTCTATGTGTAGTTTATCCATAGGTGGGCGGTGACGTGAAGGCGGACAGTGTTAACGGCTTGGTGCTGGAGTCTCTAGCAACTCGCTACTGGCGCAAGTCTGCTCCCCACACCTTCAATACTTCGGTTTATATTCAAAATGTTGTTTTTGCGTAAGTATGATGGCTGGAACATTATTTATGCACTATGGAAAATTCATAAATATGGCATAAATATAAATATTTAAATTTGATATAAAGGTGTTTTAATGGTTGTGCCAGGGGCCCGGTGTTGGGAGAAACTGTGAACGGGTTGCCGCTGACAGACTACCTTCACAAGTCTACACCAGAAACTGTTTACGGCAACTACACTTTCCAGGTGAGCTGACTATAGTGTGATCCCTAGGTAACCCACGCACCCACTTCCCCTATCCACCAACTCTCCTACAAATATAAACGTATAGTTTAAATTGTAAATATTTAGGACTACATCTTGCACCAGATTTTATTTTTAAATGTCATTTTTGAGGCTTGATGCTTACGCCTACAACATTCATTCGGGATGAATGACTTCCACTCGGTGGGAAGGGTGGTGGTGGGGAGGTGTTATGCTTAAGGTAGTTTTCAAAATCTTTACGGTCATTAAACCTTTCTTTTAGTGTCTTGTTAATGGCTCCTACACTCTGTACAATGTCCTCTCTGGTATCATAACCTGTACACTGCGTCAATTTGTGACTGTACATATAACGCAAAATGGTCCCCCAGGGAGGCTCGGGCTCCCAAAGTGCCTAAAGTTTAGAACCCACTGTTTTAGTACATCTGGGATGGAAGGTGTTCTCGGTAGTTAAAATTGTAAATTAAAACTAGAGTAACGTTTTCACACTGACTTAATTGCTGATCAAATCACTCTGGCAAGGCTGTATTATTGGCCTGGACTACAACAGTGGTTAAAATATAACATTAAAAAATTTCTTTGAACATTGAAGATTAAACTCTGCGATGTTAAAGGGGCATAACGTGCAAAATTACCTTTCAGGGCAAGGTAGTGGTGAAGGGTAATATTTTGCTGGAGGCCGGGAACACGATGGACAACGTGGACGTGTCTGAACTACTGGATAAAGTAGTTACTCTAAACACTCCCCAAACTATTACTGGCCATAAGGTGAGACTTATTTCACTAAATACTAGCACTAAAAATATTGCCCAAGAGTGCCCAGTGTGTAGCCTAGACTCCTCGTGACTCTTACTGGTTTTCTTGCTAAATATTACTTTCTAGTCTTCAACTGCGTAAAATGGTCTACAATAAACTGAGGCTTAATTTTTATTTCAGAGCTTCCTTGGGAAAGTGAACATAGCTGGAGACCTAAACTTGCAAGGCAGACTAAATGGTTTGGATGTGGCCACGGATCTCTTGAGGCTCGACCAGAACCTCCCACAAACTGGTAAGATTGTCTATGCAAATAGTGGCAGAGAAACTTAACGTACAGTATTTGGCTTTGTAAACTAATTCCACCCTCTCCCCTCCTTTCCATAGGGAGTCTAACTTTCACAAACAGAATAGAAATGACGACTCTGGATGTGGTGAGGTCCGATGTGGTGGTGGAGTCTGTGAATGGTCAGGAGGTGGCGCGTGCTGCTGCCGACCTGGTGCTGCTGGGGGAGAGCGCCACCGTTGCTGGTGCTGATGGACTGCGGTTTACGGGAGATGTCCACGGTATTGTGCTCCAGTCTTGTTCGCGCCTCTTGCTGGCTTCTTAGACCTCCGTCCTTGCCTGCTAGGATAGCGGTCACCACTTAACATGTACTCCTGTATAGCTTAACACTAATCTAAACTTGGAATACGTTGTAACGGCCTAAAATTAAAACAGAGTTAGGTTTCATATTATAACCTTGATCCATACTATACGAAGTGGTATATAATGTAGTGTTTATGGCAGTGCACACCCTGGTCGCTGGTATGGTTGATGGGATAGACTTGGAGAACATGGTGAAGACGGCCGTGAAGAAGTCCTCCCAGACGCCTCAACATATTACCTCCAGAGTCACGGTTGAGAAGGATGTCATCTTCAAGGAATTGTCTGTCGTCAGAGTTAACGGAGAAGATTGGACCGATTATTTAAATAATGTAAATATGCATTGAACTAAAATATGCATTGAACTAGACTATAGTGTAGTCCGAATATCTGACTAGTATTATATTTAATAAAACTTTTAAATTGCAGGTAGTTTCTGTGAACTACAGTGGCGAGATAGTGGGCCGGAAAGTGTTCACGAAGCCCCTGTACGTGAAGGCAAACTTCAACCCTAAGGTGGTCAATGGTATAAACTTGAATGTGCTGGCTGCTAGGATTCTGAGGCGCGCGGGGGAACAAATGATAAATGGTACATACACCTTCAACGCCAGCATTACTGCAAGTATGTAATTTGTTGATTAACTCCATACTAAACTTCCTCTGCTCTCTACGGTGAGCAGCGGGGGGAGTGTTACATACCGCAAAGGTGTAGAGCTGGGCGCGGCCGGGTACCATATATCAACCCAGTCTCCTCATAACATGGTAATTCATAAATGTAAAAGATCATGGGCATGGAAAAACTGGAATACGGTACTTTTTAACTTTTTTTCCGGACTATAAACAAACAAATGTTCCTATGCCTAGTATAGTATATTTGTACCATTAGGCCTAAAATTGTTTGGCTTCATTTAACATAAATACAAACTTTTCCAATTTTGACAAACTAAATAATGCCAAAGTCTTTGTATCACGACCATGTCTGTACAATCCGGTTACTAAGTGGTTTAATTAAGAGGATGAGGTGTCCGAGGCTGGAGGCCCGGTGCTCGGACGGTCCGCCGTGCTGGGTGACTGGCAGTACAACCACCATTTTGTACTAAAATTGCACGGAAAGTCCTAAACTTGCGATCTCAAAACGGCACTTGACAAATTTGTAAAATGTTTAATTTTCATTTTGCAAAGCTCTTTACATCTCCAAAGAGGTAACAAAAAAATAAATGGTCCTTCATGTTCATGGTTGGGTTAGTATCCTTCTTTAGTACTGTGTACCTTCTCGGTCTTCTCCCCGGCTTGGCGCCTTCTTTCCATAATTACTTGTTCATCTTTCACCAGGAGAATTGTTCGCCCAAGTAATTGATGGTGTCAATATGGACACCATCATGCTAGTTGATGAGGGTAGAGATGTGGCTGGGTTGGTCACCTTTGCTGAAGAAGTCGCTTTCTTTGGGCTGACTTCAGATACCGATGTCTTGGACGGCTGCGACTTGGGCAAGGTATGTGTACTCGGTTAACAAACCAAATGGTGTTCATTTTACGGTTCAGCGGGGTAAAGTGACTGTTCTTGACCTGAAACCATTTTCCAGCTTCAAAGTGGAGCCATGTGGAAAGATGGTTCGGATCTAAAGATAGATTCTGAGGTAATGATAGACACGCTCGTCATTGAAGGAGAAGCGATAGCCAGCGAGGTGTCGGCGGTCAAGGCTGGAAACAAGGTGGACGTGGTACACTTCCTCGACACTCTGGTGCTGAAGTCTTCTGATCAAGTTATTACAGGTAGTCCTTCTTACCAGTCAGTCCTATCGCACAGGTAATGTCGTCAATAATTAAAAATAGTTGACATATTGTAGAGTATACTAATGGGATTATTAGTTATACTGAGAGCCCAGACAGTTGATACTGTACAAAGACCGTAAAGTTCAAGAAGACTTTGGTACCTATACCTACTAGGAATTTATATGGAATAAATTAATCCTAATTTGCATTACTAACCCTAATTTCTAATGTCAACAGGCATGGTGCAGTTCCTCAATGACATACATATTGGCCATCTTCAAGTAGACACGATAAACGATGTACAAATAAGAGAGTTGATACGCTTGGCTGTAATGACGAGCGAAGATGTGGTACGTAATGTTGGTTTAATATTTTGTGAAAAGTTTAACGTGCAGTGCTATAGAACAATGAAGTAATTTGTTTTCATAACTGTAGGTAATTACGTGCGACTTGAGCTTCACCAAGGGCGTGACAGTGAAGACACTGGAGGTGAAGACAGTGATGGGTGGTGATGGTGGCGTTCTTGTTAACGGCGTGAACATCTCTGACGTCGCTAGTCGGGCTGTCCTCACCACTGGCGGCCCAGTCATGGTCACGGGCAAGAAGCTCTTCACAAAAGGTCTCGCTGTTGATCAACTTGTTGCTGGTAAGGTTCCAAACCTTTAATGGGCAAATCTCTTGTAAATACTTCTGTCTTGAGAAAAACTGTAATGGGTGATCCTAATAGAGGGAACGGGTACTAAAACAAACCTACTGAAATAATCTCTAATGGCATTCTTCTGTTCCATAGTTCTGACCATCTATAAAATTGAGACATTCTAAGGTAACATGCTTAATGGTAGCCTCTTGCAATATTTTTTCCTGGTTAGCCCCTATGAGCTCTCATAAATGCGGGCGTCGGCTTGGTCTCTCTTAAGAAAGATGTGAAATGTGCAACACAAAGTCCGTAGACTTTAGCATTGGTTTCAATCTTGTATTCTGACGTTAAACTTGTGTCCATATAGGATGTGACCACAAAACAATCTGGTTAGTGTAGTGATGTAGGTAGTGTAATGAAAATGGTAGAGATAATGTATATATATATTTGGGATACGGAGGGCGTCCGTTTCGGGAAGATGGGTTGTGTCTGCGATGTATACGAGGAGGATGTCTGGGGTGTCTCAGCACGACCTGGTCACTGCCGTGTACCCCCTTCCTTTCCTCTGCTGTCTGAACTTGGGGGGGGGGGGGTCTAAATGAAAGGCATGTTCGCGTGTGCATAATTTAACTTGGTTTCCAGTCAACACTTCAGTATAATTTTGTAAAGTCACACAGGGAAGAGGGCTGTACTACTGGGGAAAGAGGACATGCTGGGATTGTTAGTAGATGGGTTATACTAACATGGCGAGAATAACAATGATTTTATTCTTGAATAATATCCTTATGCTTACTGTTAATTATTGCCTCTGCCGTGGTACAGGGTATGATGCAACAATGTGAGGATGTGGCGGTGTCCTCTCCTGATGTTGCACTCGATGTCTTCCTCTTTATTGGCTGACTGAACGTGGTTTGGGTTGTTGGGAAAATTAACATGAATTTAATATGCTGTATAATGGTCCTAATGCAAATTTTAGTGTCGGTGAGTGGCGTGGCTGTGAAGGACTTGGTGGTGATGGCCAGAACTGATGCTATGGCGAAGGACCTGACTTTTACTGCCCCAATTTCTGTTCTTGGAGACCTTATGGTGAGCACTTGTCACTTGCTTGACACTGAACTAGATAGTAAAAAGAAATCATAATGCAAAAAAGTTAGTTTCTGAATCTTTATCACTATTCCAATTAAAAAAAAGCTTATTCAGGTAAGGTACATGCATACATAACTAAAGTGTTCATCAAAGTAAATATTTCAAACTTTTAAAGCGGCGTAGATGCCTAAACTCTGTAATAATTAGTTGATTTGAGAGTTGTGGCGGTGAAGAGTAAATTATTATTTGGCAACTTGTGCACTGCCTTGCAGGTATCTGGGTTGGTGGATGGCCAGGACCTGACGCGCCTCTTCTCCTCCAGGGTTGTGCTTAATGCTTCCCAGACACTCTTCGCCTCTTACACCTTCGACACACTAATAGTTGAAGGAAAGTTACCAGGGTTTAAAGTTGACATAATTCTCTCACAGTTCGGAAACGGTGAATAAAATGTCTTGTTCTCCTCCCTCCCAACAGGTGACCTACAGGTGGACACGATAAATGGGGTGCGGATCTCTGAGCTGGTCTTGAAGTTTGGCAGACAACACCAGGTTGTCTCTGGCAGCAAGCTCTTGCGTGGCGGCCTTCACGTGGATGGAGACATAATTCTCTCTACTATCAATGGTTTGGACATTTGGCAGCTAAATAATACCGTAGCAAGACTGGACCACAACATCACGATAAATGCTCCAGTGGTAAATGTTAATTGTTATAAAATTAAAGATTAATAGCATTAGAGTACGTAAGGTATATTGTACACTCTTGCAAAGAATTAATATTTACGTATTATGGTATAAGTTTTTCTGGTAATTTAGATTAGTAAAGTGTATGCGACAAGTCTAATAACTTGTCACGTTTTTAATCGGATGTTTATATTTAAAGCATTTGGGTTTACTTTGGGTAAAATCCATCCATTGTGAACCTTTTCTTTGACTGCCAATTAATCCATAAATTTAAAATTGCTCTAGATATTCATACTAGAGGCGCCTATAAGCCCTCCAGTATTGATAGAAGTGAGTAGGGAAGGATAAATTTGTGGACAATTAAATGTTAATTTTAAAAGCTAAAAATTTTAACTTTCTACACTTCAGACCTTCGAGAATAAGGTGACTTGTTCGGTGAAGGTGTTTGTGAAAGAGACCGTCAATAATTTTGACCTCTCTGAGCTGAGTCGCAACGTTTCCAGTATTAAAGAAAAGATAACAGACCAGTACCACAGAATAGATAATCTTCTTGGTCAGTTTGGGTCCATTAATAAAGAAAATTACAAGAATGCCGAAGGTAAAGTGTAACTTTGGAAGTAATGTGACTGTACAGAGCTTGATGGAATTTTAGCTAGAAAATCACTTGCCAATACTCTCTTCACACAGGCCTGTATGCAGAGTTATCGTACTTGGAGAGGCTTGACCTTCCCGGCGACACTGATGTGTATGGAACACTGTGGGTTGGTAACATACCTGCCGAGGGCCCGGGTCAGTACCTCAAGATCATTAGCTGCCCACAACCTCCCTGTGGCTGTGACTCTGAATGCTTCTACTACAAGGTATTTAGCGCCCTCTGATTATCCCGCACATTTGATGGTGCTACATAGCCTTCCCGGTTTGGTGCCTTTCGATAATTCTACTAAAAGGTATATTATAATAGCCCAAAGATATTTACTGGATTATTGCCAACATTATACCTATTAAGTAATGGCAATGTCTTCTCAGACATGTGGTTTTTTATGTATTTGAAATTTATGTACAGAAATTACTGAAATGTCTTAACCTTAAAATGCATAAGTGTGGGGTTGTACTATACCTAGTGGAAGTTTATCATAGATTAATGTATTTGCTTAGTGGCATTAGTTTTGTTATGCCCCACCTCTATTTGATGGTGCGGTGGCAGTATTGCACCATCAAATTTCAGCATTGGTAGCACTTGTAAAGATAAAACTACATAATTGACTGTAGAATACAAATACTGTGTATTATGTATACTCTCTAAAAAGACTAATGAATATAGTGCTGCCGGTAACTTGCTTGCCGTGTTAAGTACTTGACCCTCTTTAACATCAAAGGGCTTTCCATAAATTGGGTCTTTTTATAGGCGCAAGTTCCTGAATGTTTAAAACAGCCTTGCATAGGTAAATGATCCACAGGAACACTTGGCTGCTTGCAGCATTCTTGCGACTTGACATACAACCTTTACTAAAGAATCTTTATCCACTTTAAATTATCTTTATTTATAGAAAGAACAGGTGGTTCTTGTCACAATGGTCCCAGATGGTATTTCTGGAGAGTTAGACAACTTCTGTGGGTTGCATCTCGGGTAAGGCAAAGTTAGCAAGAGACCCCTCACCCCCCCCCCTACTAAAGCTAAGAAGCTTAGAGTAATAAGGAAACTATAGGCTGTACAGGGCGAGGGAAACATTCTGTGTCCTCGTCCACTTGGCGTGTCCAGACTAGAGTTGGGATTTCTAAAATTATGCCAAAATTTTGTTAAAACTACCAAGATTAAATTAAAAGGACAAGAGGGCTTGAAGAATGGATTTAGGTCATGTCTGTAACTAATGTCTATCTTCTCCTTCCAGGTTAAGAACAACACAAGATTGGAGCTAGTGACTAAGCTTGGAATCAGGATAGACATTGTAAACGATCCCTTGAATAATGAACGCCTTGTGGCAATCTACTCAAAGTAAGTTTATATTGACTAAATTCTTTTTCTACTGAAATTTGGCCTCTTAAGTCAAATGTTGGAAAACACTAGTATACTGTTGAAATTTGTACCCCTTTCCTCAATCTTGGAAGGTTCTGTTAAGTTCTGGCAGCTCTGAGATCATACATAGAGTACTACCTCGTAGTGTTTCACGGCTCACTGTTAAAACGCTGCTCTCCAGGCTAGAGGAAAGTCTCCCAACATGGCCGTTATTTTTCTTATGAAGGATTCTTAAAAATTTTTTTACGTACATTCCTATAATTATCAATATAGGAGCTGGCAAAAAGTTTCCACATTCGTTTGTTTACTGTGGTAATATATATCTTACAAACTTTGTATGCCCATCCATAGTATCACCGTGCTGAGCTTGGCCTTACTCTGGTTTTGTTTACAGGTGTGAGAATGGCCTGCCAAAAGCAGCTGTAGATGTAGACTACTATGTAGGAAAGCTTTCCATAGCAACCTACAAAGTTATGGGCATGGTGTTGGACACTGGCTTATTCACTTCCAAGGGGACCACTTATTTCGTTATATTGCTTAGTTATGTCGAAGGTAGGTTCCACTTTATCAACTTGTCTAGTTAAAAAAATGAGTGGGTGGGGGGTGGAACACATTACAGGGCTTTGCTTTGACATGTTCTTCCTTTGCCAGGCACACATGCTACGGAGAAATGGATTACTGTTGTGCTGAAATTAGATGCAGTTGCTAAACAGATTACAACGGTCTGGAAAAGGGAATCGCCATTACGTGCTGTCAGCTTGGACTTGGCTTTTGTAAGTTTTTATCACTTGCTGCAAAAACTTCAGCAGTCTTTGCTTCAGTAGTTTGATATATTGTAATGAGACTGTGCAGGTGGTAGGGAAGAGGCGGCAGGATAATTTATTGGACAATTGACCATTTTCGACTTTGCATAAGTTTATTCTCCAGGCCAAATGGCATGTATAATGCTGTGGACTTTATACAAAACATGGCAATTAATACACTGGTTGTAGAGTTGATAACCTATGAAGGGTAGAATGCACCCTAAATATTCTGTACACTCACATTTAAATAGTAAAATTACGTGCCCTGTTGATTAAAAAAATCCAATGATACTTTATAAAGATGCCAAAATTTTCTTATTTTAGGGCTAAACTTTAGTCATGCCTACTTTTAGTTGGATAATAGGTTTTTAATACAAAATTTCTAATGCCTGTAGACTGATGCATCATGGTTCTTGTTGGTGGTTAATGACTATGATCCTGACAACCACATTACTCCCTACACTGTGGCATCGCAACTCTTCGTCTGGAACCATTCTTCAGAAATGGTAGTTATGTATTGGCGAATATTTGGTAATTTATGAAAGTCCAGGCAGGGAAGTTATTATTATTATTAATTGATGGTTTTCTTCTACAGTTCACCCTGAAAGGAGAGTATGTTGCAGACCATGCAACATCTGGTAGGTTCTTGACGGCAGCGACTCCTGTGGAGACTAGTTTCTTTACTATATCACAGCTAAAGGAGGCAGACTCTGCAAAATTTACAGACTGTGCAAAATACACGGCAAAACTATTGGTAAGTTTCCACTCATAACCTTAATCAGATCTGTTAAAACTGACTGGCTTTTCACCCCCCCCCCCCCCAACCAAAACTAGATTGTGAAACTTGGTAATAAAGTTATCTAAAGTTTTTTGAAGTTTTTACTTTTAAATTTGTTAATCTGTCAAATGGAAAGGGTATTTTTTGCCAATTTTTGTTTTATATCATCGCTTGGTTGCACACCAAAATGTTTATTAGAAATCTTTCACCTCTTGTAGTCCCCCACCTAAATTGTTAGGGCCATTAAACTGCGACATAAATACTTAACATTCAGCCATCCAGTATTCTGGAGTTTAACCTATACAACTTTATGGATACTTTCAGATATTTAGATACAATAAAAAGACTAGAAATTTTGAAGGTTTCCAGTCTTTGGCTGTATATGGAGTAGTGGATCAAGCCGTGATGAGTGTGGATGACAACCTTTACCTACTGCTCGTGTCTACTGTTAACAACGCTTTGTATGTGTGTCAATACTTCCATTCTGAGGCAAGTTGTGAGGAGGGTTTGGACGAGGCAAAAGTTCTCATTTGGGGGATGGTGGGGAAATGGAGTGGACCATAGCTTCTGACAAGATAATGTAGTTTAACTTTTCAAACAAACCCACCTCTGTTAATACTATAAATTAATACATTAGTAAACTAATATTTTTAAATTGACAAGTAGTTATCTTTAGGTATCTCTTTAAATTGGTACCATATTTTTACTCTTTACCATTGCTGAATTTTTGTTTTCTTGCAGGGATTCACCTTGCTGTACAAAATAAGTGTGGAAAAGCCTTACTCTGTACTGGTTGTGAAGATGGAGGACCAGAAGTTTGTGGTGGTGTCAACCATGCATGGCCTTGTGAGGCTCAAAGTACACATAAAGGGTGTAAATCCAGATCTGTTGCTACTAGAATGATGGCAGTTACCCGATGCCTGTTGACAGTATATTAAATGCTTTTTTTCGTAACTTTTATTAATAAATTAGAGCTACACTAAGACTTTTTTTTTATTTTGCCCTAAGGTAGACGTATTTACCCAAATGTTGTAATTGAATTATTTAAAAATTCCAACCACTTTAAGACTGTGTACCTTCTTTATGGTATACCTTCATGGTATACCTTCTTTATGGTACGTGTGGTTTGCATCTTCCCGATGACGGCACTAACGCAAATGTTAGATACGTCAATGTTGAGTGACTGTTTAAAGTGTTTTTATTTATTTATTTATGCATGTACAAGAATGTACATTGGGAATGTGAAGATACATAATACGGTAATTACAGTCTTGTAAAGTCACTATTACGCGCAGCGTTTCGGGCAGGTCATTAATCTAAGAAAAATTTAAGGAGGTAAATACTTGCAAAATTTATAGACAAAAAAAATGATGAGTTACATGGAATGAAAAAAAGAAAAAATTGTAGGTACAGTATATATGCTCTTGGTTCAACCTTGAAGTCGAGCGGACGTCTGGTCGACACCTCCTCCCCTTGGGGGGCCGCCTGATCACGTCTTGTTTTCGCGTTTTGGTTTTGCTACTGCCGTTGGGCATCCCTATTCAACGGTCCGGTTGTTCGACGCCTGGTGCACATATCGCCTTGGGTCACGGAATTGTTGATAGATTTTTTGGGGGGGCGTGTTCTGGCTGGTTCTCCCGGCGGGGTGACGGTGTTCGGGGGCCGGCTTGGCCGAGAGGTGCCGGGGGTTGGTGGGCTCCTGGTGTGCCCTCAGCCGTGGTGGGCGGCCGGCTTCTGCTCTGCCGGGGACTGGATGACTTTTTGCGTTTTAGTTGGGGGCCGAGTTTTGGTTTTGCTACCTGGTGTTCTCTGTGTGGGGCGGGGCCGGTGCTTGTCCCCCTGAGGGACTCCTGGGGCTCCTCAATCATCTGCCTGACTGTGCGTTTATTTGCCGTATGGCATATTAGTTTCTAGTGATTGGCGTCACTCGTTTTGCGATTTGGCTTGGCGTTCCACCTTTCCTGGCTTCGCGATTCACCCTTAACGGGTACGCCGGGGCGCATCCCATCCCACGAGTGTCGTCGCCCCTAAATCAACACAACAATACATTACTCTACTTCATTTAATAATTGTATGCTTGCTAAGTAGATTTTAACTGTTAATATCATTATATTGTGGTTTTAAAATTGAGCAATAATATGCATACAAAACATACTAGTTTTGTGTGTACAAGTATCCAATTACTTCAGTGCCTGTATCCCTCTGAAGAGCAGTGCAATATATCCCTATTACATAGAAGTACAAACTGCTTTTTATTTTAACACTAAATAATAGTAAAATATAATATAAATAAAACGATAGTTTTAAATATTATTATTTAAAAAAGAAGTTACAAAAAGTGTAGAGTAATAGCGATAAAGGTGAAGAGTGAGTGTCGCTGTAGCGTGACCTGCCAGTGTTGTTGTTGCTGTCCTCCCGAGGCTGCTCCCGCTCTCCTTCCTGTCTTAGTTAACGCAATAAGTCGGGTCCTGGTTTAACCTTGACGACGGGCTGACGTCTGGACACCTCCTCTGCCTGGGAGCCGCCGGATTACGTTCCGTTTCGCGGTTTTGGATTATAATACTACCGTTTGGCGTTCCTGTTCAACGGTCCGGATTGTTGCGACGCCTGGCGCACATATCGCCTTGAGTCACTGGATAGTTGATAGATTTTGAACGTTTTCTGGCTGGTTCTTCTGGCGTAGTGACTGTGTCCGGCGAGAGGTGCCGGGGTTTTGGTGGGCTCCTGGTGTGCCCTCAGACGTGGTGGGCGGCTGGCTTCTGCTCTGCCGGAGGACACTGGATGACTTTTGCATTTTAGTTGGGGGCCGAGTGTTGGTTTTGCTACCCAGTGTTTTCTGTGTGGGGCGGGGCCGGTGCTTGTCACCCTGACGGACTCCTGGGGCTCTCCAATCGTCTGCCTGTCTGTGTTTATTGGCAGCGAGGCACATTAGTTTCCGCTGATAAGCAACAATCATTTTACTATTTGACTTTGCGATTAGCCTTTGCCGGGTATGCCTGGGCATATCCGATCCCACCATTGTCGTCACCCCTAAAGCAAAAACAACAATAAGTGGACATATCGAGCAGAGGAGCCATAAAGCAGAGCAGGTGTGAGTGCCGAGGCAAGGAGGGCACCAACAGGGAGCTTTTCAGTCATCAGGAGCGGTGGCGGACCCCGTGGGAATCGCCAACATGTCCTCGGTAATTCAGTCTTCTCATACCTTTAGGAACGCTGTTAACATTTTTTTGTTTGTTTCTCCATAGTTGGGAACAGGAGGCCTGTGATACCTATCGAGACCTTCAAGGAGACCCTAGACTATTGATATTGCCCAGGATGCTGCTACAACAGTTGCTCAATTCAAGGTTCTATTTACTGCTAGGTAAACATAGGCATTATGTGAAATAACATTTTGACTTATAATTGAAGGACCCATGATGGACAGAATTGATTGGGCACATTTCCTTTCACTTGATGCCTCAGTTCTCCTAGCCGTAAAAGATGTACCTTAGAGTTAAACAACTGTTGTTGGTCACATTTTGGGGAATCTTGGCAGTTGGCCTAGGGGAGGGGGGGAGGACCTCAATATGCTTATGGTACACTTATTGACTTGATAATGGGAATCATTGAGTAAAATGAAGAGGAATTGATGTTACTTTCCATAAGTGTTCAAGCAAAGCTAGATCAAAGAGATTATGAGGATGAATATGTTTGGCTCACAACCTGTCAATTAATTCCATTAAAGTTACAGTACTGTACTTGCAAAATGCTGTCGTGTTCACCACAGTAACCCAGTAAGATGGGCTCATTTTGGACTGATGTCCAGAAATCAATAACTAGTCACAAATGTCTGGCAGCTATGCATCTCTTGAAAAGACATGTACATATATGGACATGTGTTGACACAATAAATGCAGGTACTGTATAGTTCTTATAGCAGTCCCTCAAAGAATCTTCGTTTCAACTCGGTAATATTGAGGAATAACGAGTCACCTGGAAAACAGGGTACAAGCACAGTACGATCCAAGCTATAATCTCTGAAGCTAGCCCTTGACTGGCCACAGTATAAGCTGCAGCCCACAACTGGCAAACAATTGTCCTCGCACCATAAAGATTGTGGACAGGAGTTCTAACCAGCATTAGTGCCTGTACACTTTTTCTCATGTAAGCTCTCCGACACAGTCACCTTGTGCATAAGGATAAATAATAAAGGAATGATGATAAATGGCGAGTGGCAGCAGTTGGATACATGTACAGTAGCTGGAGGTAAAGGACATATACTATGGCCACTGGAGTAGTCTGCCTATGGAAAAGTGGTGTGGGTTACTCAACCATCATGATACAGTCACTCAAAGTAGTACTGACCTGTTAACCTGTACTAATAACCGATTCACAGGGTAATGACTTCTCTTCTTAAAAGTGTACAATTATTTTGACATGGAGGAAAGTGATCTGGCTTGCCAACTAGTAAGTGCACTGCTGGATTGTTCCAGCAATTTAAAGTACAGTACTGTATTGTAATAATAGAAAGAGTTTTCAGTTTACTTGAAGGTATTGTTCTAGATATCACTTGGGACCTGATTAAGTATTCAGCAGTTTCCTCCAGTGGTTCCATGACACCAAAATACCCCAGAAAGAAAATACTGTACATTTGAAGAAAAATCTTAGCTGTTCTGGTGCAGAAATGTGCACCTTCCCTGACTGTGCTAGCTTTTATCCATACTTCTGCTCGGGCCTGTGGAGCAGTCAAGTGCTGTGCTCAGAAAGGAACTTTTGATATGTGCTCGTATCTTTATTTTTGGGTTGAATGTAGAGGTTGTTAGGCTAGAATGTTATGTTTTCTTGAATCACAATAGTGATTAGTAGGCTGTATCCAAGTACTGTAGTGCAACAGTGACCATGGTAAATAACAGTTCCCTCATCAATCTATGCCATTGTCATCCACCAAAAAATTTAGATAACACAATTCTTTATTTTTTAGCTTAGGTATCCATATAAAAATTAAAAGGTTAGCTTATATTTCAACATATTCAGTGTTTAATAAAATTATTATGGAAGAGTATGTAATATGTTTTCAAATAAAATAAAGGATGCTTGTGCTAACTTTACAATTTTCTTTCAGATTGCCAGAATGGAGGAGGAATTTGAAAGTCGTGTGTGGGACGACACCCCTGATGCTGAGCCTCTGGTATGGTTTAGCAAAGTGCTTGTTATTCTTTTCTCCAGATCTTTCCCTTTATGTGTAGATGTATAGTAGGCATCCTGCAGTCTCGGGAGACTGCAGGATGCCTATTACTACTACTACTTATTTAGTACATTCACAGTACTGTATTGTACAATACTGTACTTGACATGCACCTTATTCACTAAAAAAAATCCACATAGACAAGTCTACTCATGATTTTATTTGCACTGAATGCAAAAACATTTAATGCAATTTTAAATACACGTAGTATTCATTAACCGACAGGAAGAAGACGAAGCGATGAGTCCAGCTGATGTACAGTCCAACTGCCTTCGGCAGTTCTCAAGCACGGACTTCATCATGGAGCCTGGCATATTCTCTACTCTAAAGAGGTCAGTCCAAGAGAGTTTCATCTCCATTTACGTTCTACATTTTCTCGAACATTTGTGTCGTTTTACCACTTCCTATCCATGCCGCCTGTCCAAGTTCCCCTGTTCAGAACTGATCTTGGTAACCAAGATTTTGCCCTTTATAAACATGCCAGTATACAAGGAAGATTTGTGACTTCCCAAATTCTTCTTTAATCATCTTCATTAGTTTTCCCTTGACCTATATTTGTAAATCTTGCTCATGCAGTTTGTCACTACTACTTGGAATTATTTGTAATCCTTTTATAATTATTTATCAAAATGTCATCCGCTAATTACTTACTAAATTGAATGTATGCAAAAAAATATGGGCCTTGAAATAGTAATTTTTAGTAGTCAAACATCCAAAATTATCAAAGCTAAAGACTATCTTAACTGCCATCCCCCTCTGCATATAGCATAAAATATTGCATAACTATTAAATACTCTTTTATTTTCCCAGTGTGTTGTTATACAAGGCAAATAATTTGTAAAATTATGTAAAACAGTGCATCTTCACTCTAATAACCCCCCCCCCCTCCCTTACAAATTCCTGGATGGTCCAAACAGATTGTATTGTGTATATTGTTCACTCTTGACTGGAACATACAAATGTTTGATAAACAAGGACTGTTCATTGAAGCCATCACCGAGGCTGAGCATCGTACCGTTGCTGAAGCATTGCAAAGAACTGGATGATATTCCAAATAAATATATTGTAACTATATATAGTAAAGATGAACTTTGTTTTGCCTGCGGGTGCACAAATTTATGCAGTGGGCAAAGAGAGTGAGGCGACTAGTTTTAACATTTACAGTTGAAGTTATTAAACCATAGAAAACTTATGGTGTGTAAGTGTCCAGCTTAGAGAGACCTACCAAGAGCAGTATCATAACTGACAGAAGCTAACATGTTAAGATTTATCCCTTGAAGGTTAGGTCATGTAATAAAAAAATGTAATTTGTCTTTATCAGATACTTTCAAGCAGGTGGGAATCCTGAGCAAGTAATTGAAATGCTGTCGGAGAATTACCAAGCCGTGGCTCAGATGGCTAACCTAATGGCTGAGTGGTTGATTTTGGCAGGTGTGTTTTGTGTGTCAGCCGTATGTGTGTGGCTGTGTTGTGGTGTCAGCAGTTTGTCATTGTGTGTGGCTGCACCACCCCAACAATGCCTCCTTTTCCCAGTCTTACAGCTGACATTGCTCATTACACCAGTCTTACCTCATTATTTTTCTTGTTCTCTACTCATTATATTGCCTATATAATACTCTTTGCACATTGTTCATATCTTGAGATACACTGACCTGGGAAACCCCATTTGTTTGATTACGATCCAAGCATCTAATTAGCTATTGTTATGACATTAATAATGTTGCATACTGGAAATAAGATGAGCATAGGTGGTACATAGTGAAGTGTTATGATTGCTTTACCACAGGTGCCAGCATTAATGACGTACAAGCAATGGTGGAAAACCACCTCAAACAGATGATCTTGAAGACATTTGACCCAAAGAAGGCAGATACTATTTTCACAGAAGAGGGAGATGTGTGTATAAAAATTTTCTTCATTAGTTGAGAGTCATAACACTTGATTTAGAGCCAATTTTTTATTTTTCAAATGAAGGTTTTTATCAGTGAGATTCTATAATTGTCAAGTTATATTTTTAGTTTTTAAAATTTGTATTAGTGATCAGTGTTTTGAATTACTGGACTAACGTCATTGTTGTAGCCTATGTACAGTTATCTTGGTAAACAAATAATTTATATTTCTCATACAATAGTGTTACCCCCTATTACGAGGGAGATATTTTATAGGTTTACCATTCTTTATATCTGGGTTGGCTATCTCAGTAGCTACTCTTGCTTATGGCACTGGAACTGTATGATCATGTTAGATATGCCGGGCTTCTGGGACATTGTGTGCTTATTGGAAGCAAGTACCATTTCACACCATCTTCCTCTGTGGGCTGGGGATGGAGTATGGCTCACAGATTGACCAACTTCCAAGGTGACTTTCCTTAAAATGATAGTCACAACACGTCACTAAATTTCCTTCTTTGAAGTGTTTGATAATCATAAAATTACCAAATAACTCTGCAAACAAGTTGATCCAATTACACACAACTCCAACAAAGTAGTCAAATACTCTGAAGCACAGGAATTGGACAGCCCACACCAAAGAAAACAGAGATACTGTCAAGCTCTCAAAGTATATATATATATATATACCAGTATATAGTTACAGACATCTAGCTCCTTCACTTGCAATGAATGAGGGAGGGCATAAAGAATCACAGACTAATAATGTAAAAGGTCTCCTAATACTTTTCTTAAGTGTTAACCCAGCTAAAGGTGCCAGGCTCCACTTCCTGCATGAGCCAGAGGCACTGCACAGTCAATATGCACTAGGACTCCTCATAACAACTTTCAGTCCCAAAGTAGTGTATTACCCAAAAAGGGTCATCTCGAAATAAGTCTTCCTGACGAAGAAACTCTTAATTCCTCAAGGATGACCAGTGGCTAACAATCTTTGCAAGTATTGCCAGGGAAGAGAACCTGGAAATGAAAGCTGAAGCAAACTATAAAATCAGGAGGCTTGCAAAGCAACTGGCTAACAAAATTAAGAAGTGCACTTAATATGGAATCCAAAATAAAGGGACATTATAGCTCAAACAGGAGTTTGTTAACAAAAGAATAATAATAGCAGTCTCCACTGGAACATAAGTGCCTGGTGCCTATGAAAATTGGCTGGTAACCTGAAACAATACTGTAAAGGGACCAATAAATATGAAAAAAAACATTAGCAATTTATGTCTCTAGTGCAAAAAACTCGTTGATTGACACCAGTCCCTGCCCACAACAGCAGGTGGAGACAGCCCCATCATTCATACTCGCCAACGACATCAACTCCCACTTCAGGCCTCACTTCATCGATGAAGTTCTAAAGCATTATCTGAAAAGGAATCTCTCAAGAGTGTGGATATCCAAATTCAAAGGAAGGGAAGCTAGTTTAGAGATATTGCAGCAGCCTTCTGCAGGAACCATATGCAGTTATCTATAAGAGCACCAAGCAAGCGAGTGATGTGGTTGCCTCACCAGAGCTTGCAGTGGTTTAGGCTGCCACCTGGTGTTAATCAGGGAGGGAATAGATTTGTTCGTTAGTCCTGTGATTTCCAAACATTCTTAGAGGAAAGTTAAGTGATTTGTGACTTCATTTTGACCTTCAGAGGTTGACTTGTGATGTAATTTTTTGGTCACCATGGTAGGAATTGATCTATGATACTAATGTGTTCCCTTGCCTCATTGAAGGAACAAGACGATGGCTTTGCCTCTGGTGGATAATTTGTTCCATTATCCTGGCATATTGATTGTGGCCTACAATGCCAATGCTGTAAGTTCAGAGAAACTACTGAGGGGGCCAGGAGCCCAGAAAACTTTGTAAATGCTTAAAAAGTATCTACAACTTTTGGGTAATGCCATATTGTTTCTTAAATATGTGTATATATAAATGTAAACATAAAATGCAGTCACTGTAGCTTCATTAGATTATTTTGTAAAGTTTTGTGTTACTTAGATGTACATTTTACTGGGATAGAAGGCTTGGTTTTCAATCACTGAGAACACTGTACAAATTTGTTCTTAAAATATAGCATACCTACAGGTAATTTTATTTTAGACTGTTTTTTAATACTGTATATGCTTCCAACTTTTTAAATCTTAATTTGGAACAAAATTGTATTGCTCCGAAATTATTCACGAAGTTTGATTTAGACTATATTTGTTGTCTTAATATGAAGCAACAAATGATGGTACAATAGTTTAACACAACAAAGAATTATTGAGCCAAATTACTCTTTCCCTTTCAGGCACCTGGATGGTTGACTGAACTGATTGAGCACAGTACCTGGCGCTCAGTTGTTTACCAGCTGGCTGAAGAGTTTCCTGAATGTCTCATGTTGAATTTCACCATTAAGGTAAGATAACAAGGAATAACGGGAACACATGATACATAGGATGAAGGCTCGCAGGACAGGCATGGTCTGTGTAAATAATGCTGTATAGTATGATAAAACGGGTACATTTATAAGATCTGGTTTATTAAGCAACATGAAGCTGGTGCACGTGATCATAGGCAATACAGTAATATTTTTATGCAAGAACGAAGACCTCCCAAGTGAAGAGCATGATTACCGTTATGTATTTTGATTGCTATGTTATTATTTTAGAAATGTGAAATAAAATCATTTCAATTAAGCGATGGCCAGGAAATATCCAAATTCTTATTTGCAAGAAAGGCATTTATTATTTAGCAATGTGAACTGAAGCCATTTCAATTAAACTGACATGAAATATTGAGATTGTTATTAACAAGGAGGGGATTGTGATGGCTTGTCAGCTGGTTATTGCTCACAGACTTGATCCTCTCCCTCAAGTTCCTCTGAAATATAGTAATGCCTTTTTACTTTTTTTACAGTTGATATCAGATGCAGGTTTCCAGGGTGAGATCACTAGCATATCAACAGCAGCTCAGCAAATTGAGGTTTTCTCAAGAATTCTCAAGACGTCTACATCCAACTTTCTTCAGTCACCAGAAGATTCCAGACACAAGGCAGTCGTGGAGTTTGCTGTGAGTTAATGAACAAGGTAGCATGGTGTTGCCATGCTTTAGTAACATCTTCATTGGGATGCTGTATTTGTTCTTGGTGACCATATACAATACCACGCTTAGGATCCCTTGGCTCTCGTGTCTGACCACAGTTATTTTACCTACAATACACCTTTGTAGGTCTCTCTCTCTTTTTCCTGTGTGTTATACAGTTTGATGACTGTATATCCACTGACAGAGACAATAAAATAAAATATATCCCCTGGCAACTCTTTATATAGATTTTATATATAACCCCTTTTACCCATTTTTCATAATGAGCTTCAAGCATACAACAGGATATATTAACTAGTGCAGACGATGAGTCGCAATAACATGGCTGAAGCGTTAATATCCAACCCACACATCTGGAAATGTGTGGGTTGGATGGTAACATATGATTTTGCAAGGATCTTTGAAATCATTTATAAGTATATGGTATTTTCTTTTCCTTCAAGTTCGTTAAAATTTAGGTAATTAGATTTTATGCATTGCTTCAATGCTTCACACACTATTCAGAATTTTGTATATACTGTACGGTAATTTAAAATATTGTGGAAAATGTCTTTCAGAAAATGGTGTGTCATGGACAGCACACTTATATCTATGCCCAGGTGATGCTGCAGATTCTCTCGCAGGAGACAAAAGGTGGCAATAACATCAGACGCTTGCAGCAGGAAATTACTAAATATGCAATTAACAAGTAAGTTTTGACAAGTCTTGCTATACATTTATTTACTAGAAACCGGTACAAATGTAAATATTTGCTTGCCAATAATCCCAGTAATATTTATTAATATAACTATACATGTTTTTGTCAAGTGTGTGTAGAGTGCACTTGAGTCCCACCCGAGTGTTTTATTTCCTCCCACCCGAGTGTTTTGGTTCCTCCCACCCGAGTGTTTTAGTTCCTCCCACCCGAGTGTTTTGGTTCCTCCCACCCGAGTGTTTTAGTTCCTCCCACCCGAGTGTTTTGGTTCCTCCCACCCGAGTGTTTTGGTTCCTCCCGCCCGAGTGTTTAGGTTCCTCCCGCCCGAGTGTTTAGGTTCCTCCCGCCCGAGTGTTTAGGTTCCTCCCGCCCGAGTGTTTAGGTTCCTCCCGCCCGAGTGTTTAGGTTCCTCCCGCCCGAGTGTTTAGGTTCCTCCCGCCCGAGTGTTTAGGTTCCTCCCGCCCGAGTGTTTAGGTTCCTCCCGCCCGTGTGTTTAGGTTCCTCCCGCCCGTGTGTTTAGGTTCCTCCCGCCCGAGTGTTTAGGTTCCTCCCGCCCGAGTGCTTAGGTTCCTCCCGCCCGAGTGTTTAGGTTCCTCCCGCCCGAGTGTTTAGGTTCCTCCCGCCCGAGTGTTTAGGTTCCTCCCGCCCGAGTGTTTAGGTTCCTCCCGCCCGAGTGTTTAGGTTCCTCCCGCCCGAGTGTTTAGGTTCCTCCCGCCCGTGTGTTTAGGTTCCTCCCGCCCGAGTGTTTAGGTTCCTCCCGCCCGAGTGTTTAGGTTCCTCCCGCCCGAGTGTTTAGGTTCCTCCCGCCCGAGTGTTTAGGTTCCTCCCGCCCGAGTGTTTAGGTTCCTCCCGCCCGAGTGTTTAGGTTCCTCCCGCCCGAGTGTTTAGGTTCCTCCCGCCCGAGTGTTTAGGTTCCTCCCGCCCGAGTGTTTAGGTTCCTCCCGCCCGAGTGTTTAGGTTCCTCCCGCCCGAGTGTTTAGGTTCCTCCCGCCCGAGTGTTTAGGTTCCTCCCGCCCGAGTGTTTAGGTTCCTCCCGCCCGAGTGTTTAGGTTCCTCCCGCCCGAGTGTTTAGGTTCCTCCCGCCCGAGTGTTTAGGTTCCTCCCGCCCGAGTGTTTAGGTTCCTCCCGCCCGAGTGTTTAGGTTCCTCCCGCCCGAGTGTTTAGGTTCCTCCCGCCCGAGTGTTTAGGTTCCTCCCGCCCGAGTGTTTAGGTTCCTCCCGCCCGAGTGTTTAGGTTCCTCCCGCCCGAGTGTTTAGGTTCCTCCCGCCCGAGTGTTTAGGTTCCTCCCGCCCGAGTGTTTAGGTTCCTCCCGCCCGTGTGTTTAGGTTCCTCCCGCCCGAGTGTTTAGGTTCCTCCCGCCCGAGTGTTTAGGTTCCTCCCGCCCGAGTGTTTTGGTTCCTCCCACTTGGCTGAAATGTTGTACCTACTTGGGCCAGTTTGGGTATCTTGAGGCAGCCCAACCTGCACAGTTTAAGAGAGGCATATTTGGATAGAAATATCAATGATGTCTAATGGAAGTGATATCAGCATTGTAGATGACTTAAAGTTTAGCCAATTTTACTGTAGAAATATAATATGAAATACTGAGGCAGAAAGGTTTTTGAGAATACAGTAGTTGAAAACTTTTTTTTTTTTCAAGCTGCACATTACAGAGCCAAACAAGGGATGATAATTATACAAGTATTATAAAATGAGCAACGGAAAAGGGATTATAAGGCTTGATGGATAAATTGCATAAGAAAAGACTAGGATTAGAGTTCTAGATTTTCAGAAAGCTAATTATAGTAGATTAATTCACAACCTAATGCATGTTAAGAGTGGTGGGCAGCCATCCTCGGAAAATGTGACTCCAGCAGCAGTTGACCTTACACTGGATTATACAGTAGATTATTATAATAATATACAATATATAATAATATACAATTATATAATATTATACAATATTATATTATGAGATAAAATGCTCAATAGAGAAAAAATATATAAATAAATAAATAAATATGGCATTGCATGGCTGATCTTAGGATACCTCCCAATTCAATGATATGGTCCACCACGACTAATATCATCTCTGTTCAGAGATTGTAAGTTTGATAGAATCATATTTAGAAATATCATGAGAGTTGAAACACTTAAATCCACACCATTCAGGTAGTTTCATTGTTCCCCATTTTACACGCTACAGTGTACTGACCAGCAAAGAAAGCATTTGATGTTAATATCTTTCTCTTTGGGCAGTGGCCTTAATGTCACACCGATTCAGCTGGCTCTCAATGGTGCCATGGCACACCCAAGAGCAGCCCAGGCACTGGCACCTATGCTTGCACGAAATGCTCTCAACCCCGCAGACATAACTGTATTGTTCAAGTTATACAGTGCCACAGACCCACCTCCGGTTGACCTAATACGTATCCCACAACTATTAGGTAAGTTAATGCTCGTTACCTAAACGTAAGGTTGTAACTGTCACTATTTCTATAGCTCCTTCGTATTCATATAACCACCACCTTGTCCTTTCTGACTAGTAAATATATTCAGTATCTTGTTATATAATTTGAGTTAAGGGTGGTTTTCATTCCTGACAGAGCTGCTGATAGATGCCTTGTTTAAGCCAGGGAGCAAGGTGAATCAAGAACACAAGGCCAAGTATTTTTATCTTCTTGGCTACAGTGCCAGCGTGTACGAAACACCAAAGAAAGGAAACAGACCCAGACAGGTAATTTTGGGCAATAGTCTTGTTCTATTTAGGCAATAGTCTTGTTCCGCGCCGCTGTCACACAGTGGCGCGGCGATGTGTGACATCATGCTCGTTTGCTCGTTTCTTTTAGGGGGAGTTCTATCCACTTGTTCGGCTTTTGATAGCAATATTTTCACCAGAATAGGGGTTTGTTTTGGGATGCTTACCTTTCTGGGTGCCTGACCCGGTCGATGGCAGACATAGAATGCTTCCAACCACACGAGGGTTTCTACAGGCCATTGCTCCCCATGCCTCTCTGAGGGGGGGCCAGATTTTGGCTCGTGGTCCCTGGTAGGCCCACAGAACTCCATACACATGACTGATGCCAAAGTCTGACATTAGCATATCAGCCTAGTAAGCTCCGGGGAGCCTCTGGGTCTCGCCCAGAAAATGGCGTTTCATTACATTCAACACTGGTTTATTTCATTATGTTCAGTAGCAGGTTTGTGTTGATTATACAAAAGCTGGATGAATCTTATGAGTTGCTACTTCGAGATCACCAATTGTCAGTTAATATTGAGATATTAAAGAAGGAAGTGAAATATGATACACATAAGAGAATGTACCTAATGTAAGTGTGAATATGGAAAATTAGAAGCAAACTTGTATAGAAAAATCTAAATTATACTTGCTTACTGAAAACTAGTAGTAAATATATAAATGACACTGTGAGTTTATCCGTTATATTGAATAACTTTTACTGTCATTAAAGTAAAACTCCAATAAAAGTCTACTTTGCTAATTATTTTACCCATTTGTTAGAAGATTGTTGGTTATTTACTACTGATTGTTAGAACTTCCCTTGTAATGAATGATAAATGCTCTCTCTTTAAAATCTGTAAGTTGTGTTATTTCTTATCTCAGGTGAACCGGGATGACTTGAAGCCAACTCAACAAGCCATCGAGAAAGTTCACAATATTTGCCAGGGTGGAAAGTCAGCCATGGAACTTATAGCTGAAATCAATACTTTATATCAGTGTATTAGGTAAGCTGTAATGAACATCAAATTAATGAATTATATAATACTGCAATTCATGGCTGTGGATCTTGCTCACACGTATACTGTACTGGGAGGACGGTCTGTTACCTAGCAGTAAAATAGGTACCTGGGTGCTAGTCAGCTGTCACGGGCTGCTTCCTGGGGGTGGAGGCCTGGTCGAGGACCGGGCCACGGGGACACTAAAGCCCCGAAATCATCTCAAGATAACCTCAAGATACTGTATAGTGTTTTAGTGCTCTTAGGGTATTTCAGCATTATTTTACTATTGGCAGCTTTGACCATGCTGTATGTACTTGGTTCACTATTACTAACAGTAGACATTAATCAGCAAAATGTCCTCAGGTTCCCTGTTGTCAGTGTTGGTCTTGTCCGATGGATAGAATGTGTAGTTAAGGAACCAAGTTACTTCAAGCTGTGCACCGAGTCAACGCCCACCCACCTGGCTCTCCTGGACGAAGTAGTGTCCATTCATCCTCTCCTCCATAGCAGAGTTCTCAGTCTCCTCATAGAACTGTTTGAGTCAGAGTTTCAAGATCTGGAGATCCTTGTTCAAGTAAATCTGAATTTTTTTAATTTTCCCCATTTTTTCCTCTAATTTGTGCAATATTCAGCTCTTAAGCCTAAGAAAACATCCCCATCTTTCACCATTTCACAAATTGTCAGTTTTGTTTTTGGTTGGCATGCCAACTTTTGTGCGCTGGCATGAAACTATGAACACTTATGAATGGAAAAGGAAGGCCTCCTATTACAATTATGGGTATGCAGTTCTGTTGTGGGCAAATTTTAGTACTGTATAGTAATTTTATATGGCAACTTCCCATCTTTTCAAACAAGTTTCAAAAACATCTTTAGCTTTGTCAAAATAGAGAGTAATGATTTAAAAATTGTCTTCACTGTTATAATGCTGAAATTTGTTTACATTTACCAAATACTGAGGAATAATATTAAGGTTAAAACTGATAAAATACTGAACATTATTTGTATGATTATAAACTGCACCTCCCTTATCAAAGGCCATTCAGTTGCTTCATGTAGCCAGCAGCCAATATGGGTCTTCAAAGATACATTCTGGCACCTGATTCTGATCACCTGTTCACTCACCATGACACGTAACATTGCAGAGTCTAGCGTGATGCATCAAATGAACAAATCCACATGGGCCGTGACGAGGGTTCGAACCTACGTCCGAGAGCATCTCAGACGCTGCCTTAATCAACTGCACTACGACATGGTAAAAGAATTGTAACCAGAAGTTTTACTGCCCTTACTTGGACCCTGCAGTGTGGGATGCTCTCGGACGTAGGTTCGAACCCTCGTCACGGCCCTTGTGGATTTGTTCATTGTAGAGTCTAATAAGGTAGTTGGAGAAGGAAGCCAATGGTAAATGTAACTCCAGCCACAACCGAGAGATTAACTTATTACAGTATTTAACAAATCTATCTATATAGAAAGATTTGTTTCAATAATATTGGTGTAAATTTTCTTTCCTTGCCATCTCTAGCTTGAGCTGCGGAAGATGCTGCTCGACCGCATGGTAAATTTGTTGAGTCGTGGGTGTGTTCTTCCAGTCATGAAGTACATTAAGAGCTGTTCTACCAAGGGTGACACTGACATCTCTCTCATCCGCTACTTTGTTCGGGAGGCAAGTACTTTACTCAAGTCTACCGTACATATCACACTATGGTATATGTGTGAAAAATATTACGCATTTTTGTATTAATTATTTTGTTGGTGGAATTTATTCCTAATGGATTATTTGAATATACAAGCTTACTTATCTGGAATGGCTATGCTTATTAGGCAGCTCAAGTAGGGATAGATTGGTTTCACATATTTTCCAGTGCCATATCTCAAGAATACTATTTATAAAAGCTATTTATTTTCCTTATACAGTATTGCAAGAATGCTTAAAGATAATTATTTCAGATGCCATATACTGTACATGTATGAGGGATGGTTTCTAAAACTGTGCTGTATGTAGTTAGTTTAATAGTGAAAGTAGAAATAAATTTTAGAAACTGCCTAAAGTTATCCTTTCTGTGCTAAGTCCACTTAGCTAAAGATACTGACTTAGTGGTAACAATAAGTCCCATAATGATTTTGTTTGCCTTCCTAGGATCACAATACAGTATCATAATTTTGCTCCCTCAGAGAGGGGAGAATAACATGTAACTGCAACATGGCCCAATGTCAATCGTTCTTGGTGATTACCTGGTCTGTGAGACTGTCTTCACGGCCTGAAAGCCCACATAGCCATTTAACCTAATATTACACAGTATGGGATTCTCCTAACGTCCAAGTTTTTGCACTATTTTTTCAATAAAACTTCATTCTGTACTGTACTTTATAATAAAGTTTTGCTCTCTTCCCAGCCATAAAGATACTGTACATTTTAAAGTATATGTATATTTACTAATGAAAGATGAGAGTAAACATTATCTTTAAATTTTCCAGGGAATATTTTGGTTACAGAAATTGAGAATATTTAGTCGAGGGATTTAACCCACAAAACTGCATAACATGAAAATTAGAGAAAAATAAAAAATATAAAAATAAATCACAAAAGCTAGCAAGATTTCAATATAAAAAAATGTGTAAAATAGGCGAAGTTTGATAATTGAGGTGGTATTGTTTGTGTTTATATAATAATTCACAAAATATAGTACCCATCCCGTGGATAGTGAATTTTGTGATTACCGAAGTCATAGATAATGAGGATCCGTTTTTTGGTAATGTTCAACGAGAAGGAATACAGTTTTGATGATGAAAGTTTAACATAGACCAAACTGTTGGACCGAGCCTCGTAGGGGGCCTCGTAGCCTGGTGGATAGCGCACAGGATTCGTAATTCTGTGGCGTGGGTTCGATTCCCGCACGAGGCAGAAACAAATGGGCAAAGTTTCTTTCACCCTGAAAGCCCCTGTTACCGAGCCTCGTAGGGGGCCTCGTAGCCTGGTGGATAGCGCACAGGATTCGTAATTCTGTGGCGTGGGTTCGATTCCCGCACGAGGCAGAAACAAATGGGCAAAGTTTCTTTCATCAGTAAATAGGTACCTGAGAGTTAGTCAAGCCCCTGTTACCTATCAGTAAATAGGTACCTGAGAGTTAGTCAGCTGTCACGGGCTGCTTCCTGGGGGTAGAGGCCTGGTCGAGGACCGGGCCGCGGGGACACTAAAAAGCCCCGAAATCATCTCAAGATAACCTCAAGATAACCTCAAGAGCTCTCACAAGTCGAGCTTGGCCTCGGGCTGGGCTTGAGTAGTAGAAGAACTCCCAGAACCCCATCAAGCAGGTATAGAATTTCATGGTAGAAGATGAGAGGAAGGCCAAGATGATAGTAAGACATGATGAAGTGAAGAAGTTGCATTGAATGTAAATGGTGCTGGAGAAGTATAAGGAAACAATACTAATTGACAGCAGTTTGGCATTTTAATACATTACAGTACAGTATATGAAACTCATGATAGTCATAGAGGCATCTCTTTGATGCTATGTGTAAGATATGGTGAATTAATTGGTGCAATTTTTTTCTGTTTAACCTTTTTTCATGTACTGTGTAAATCTTCAAGGCTGCTGCCTCCCTATCAGCTAATGAAAATAGAAAATGTAATGAATGCGATGCTGTGGTAGGCATGAAAATCACATTTCCAAATTAATAATTTCTTTGATTATAGGTGCTGGAGATTGTAGCACCGCCATACACTGTCGAGTTTGTTCAACTGTTCCTGCCACTGGTGGAGAATGAAGATATCACAGGATCCATGAACACAGACAGTGACTTGGTGACTGAGTTTATAGGTAAAAAATTGTGTAAATTTTTTGGTATATGGAAGAGTTATGCATGAATGATTGGCCAAATAGGGTTGAAAATTGGTTAGCGATGGCTGTTAAAGAAACTTTGAAAAGTTTGCTACTTTTGTGTGAAAGTTTTGCATTGATTATTTGAGGAAATAAGTGTGATCCAGAAGGTGTATGGGTCGAGTCACACATATATATTGTGCTATATGATAGCACAATACCTGGAGGTTTATTGTACGTGAAGCTTGAGGAAGGAGAGCATGAGATGAAAAGATAGCATTAGGGAGTAGATGTTCAAGATCTACGTAGTCAGGTGTACAATGCTGTGTCCGTCCACCTTCCATTATGATGCATGACAGAGTGCATGTATGTAGATAAGCATAAGTTGTAATATAATCATTGTCCCTGAAATATAATAAATTTGTAATTGTTTTTTTTTCTTTTTTTCAGCTCACTGCAAGTCTAACTATTATGTAATGTAAGAATAATCAGGTAAGACGGAAAAGTTCTCAAGGAAAATGGCATTATTAGACATAACAAAGAAACTTACAGTTGGCTACATTTGAGCCTCTTAATATATGCATGTATATAATTTGGCTGAGAGTACAGATTACATTCTGATCTGTTGTATCTTAGTGAATACAGGTGATCATTTTTGAACTTCACTATGATAGACTTTCAGGCTCATCAACTAGAAATCAGTTGATGTATTAGTGAATGTACTCCAGTAGCACAGGAGTACTCTGTATATACATTCCATTAGTGTCACTATGTACTTCACTGACTGAACCAGAGCTTGTAATTAGACCTTATATCAGCTTTGCCAGTCTAATGTATTAGTGGGTGCCAGATTGACACTAACCTTGTGATGCTTGTTGCTTATAAAATACCTGATATATCACTTGCCAGTCAGGATGTGAGTGATAACATATCAGTACCTTGTGGTGAACAACACTGGCCTCCAGTAACACAGATGACACCTTGGCTTTTAATAACATTCGTATATAATCAGTCGGCAAGTTTCTCACTGTCATTGGGGGGGGGGGGAAATTGCTTACTTAGCAAGAATGCACAAGTACTGTATACTATTTTAGGAAAATAGGAGTTGAAGGTATTGTGAGTGGCACCTGGCCTTCCACACAAGCTGCCGTTACCACCCTAAGCAAAACTTCTACAAAATTAAATACTTGGTGTAGACAAGTGGTGGTGCTTGTTAACCTGTGAAGTTGTTTAATAGGGTATGTTTATATAATGAATTAATAGGTGCTATTTTTAATATACATATTCGTTCATTATATTATTTACCATTTAGTTCTCCTTCCTGTTGCATTTCCACTCTATGAAAGTGAGGAATGTGGTGTAGGTGAATATTTTCAGCATGTTTGTGCATGCTTGTCTATAAAAACACGGTTTTGAAAAATTCTAAGTGACTAAAAAGAGAATTGGAATGAATGCAGTTAGAATCTAGCTTCAAATTTCAAGTGTAATTATGGAGGTATAATTCCATTCGCCCGGGCTCTAGGAGACTCAAGCCGCAGACCCCGCGCGTGTGAGGCCGACGCCCTATTGACCGAGCTATTGAGTAGTCTTAATAAGGAAAGTATCCAGAAGCAGCAGCCTGCTGCCAAACTGGAATTTTTGACATTCCCCGACTACTACTGAAGCTCAGGGGAATTAATGATCCATCTTGAGGTTATCTTGAGATGATTTCGGGGCTTTAGTGTCCCCGCGTCCCGGTCCTCGACCAGGCCTCCACTCCCAGGAAGCATCCCGTGACAGCTGACTAACACCCAGGTACCTATTTTACTGCTAGGTAACAGGGGCATAGGGTGAAAGAAACTCTGCCCATTGTTTCTTGCCGGCGCCCGGGATTGAACCCAGGACAACAGGATCACAAATCCAGTGTGCTGTCCGCTCGGCCGACCATGCCTACGTTATAGATTTATATGGAGTTATAATGTTAAAGGTGTAACTGGGGTGTCTAAAAGACATCTTAAGCTTCCCTGTTCTGCATTTGTGACTGAAAAAGCTATTTTATTTCTCGTCCTTGCTTCCATTGTATTTTTTCAACATGTGTACATTTTTCAGAATTCTAATTTTGAATCTTCAAAATTGGATACATTTACAAGGTATTTCTCACTGAATGAGACATTGTGATCTTTACTGTGACACTTGATCAGGCACTCAGAATCAACAGGTTTCGAACAATGACTTTCTGAAAGGTCACTTTTGAAATCTTTTGGCAATGACTGTGTATTTAAATGTTGAGACACAGATTCTAGGATTAAATTATTCAAATGAAAACAAAGACATTTTGTGAAGTACAAGAGCCCATTTGTGAACCTCTAGACCAGTGGTTCCCAAATAGACAAAAGATTTGATGAAGGTTAAATGTGACTTTTGCATCCATGTTGTTAGTTAATAGCAAAAAATGTATATAAAGCTGACTATACATTTGTATATAACTATTTTGTATAAATTATACTATACGGTAAATACTAGAGTTGCTTTAACTTACCTGGACTTAAATGTCTGGTGTACTACAAAATATGAAGAATGTTTACAGGGATATTAATAACAGTATTTTGTCTACAAGTTCCAATAACAAACAAATTACTGTCTAAGCTCGCTTATCTAGGCTATATGGGAAGGACCCCTCACGTTTCTTATCACCTCGTGCCCCTGTCCATTTAACAGTAAATAGGTACCTAGGAGTTAATCAGCTTCTTGTTGGGGTTGCATCTTGGGCAGAGTCAGTAATTTGACCCCAGGGGGGGGGGTGAGGAACCTCAATATAAGCCTATCTTGAGGTTATCATGACATGATTTCAGGGCTTTAGTGGCCCCGTGGCCCGGTCCTCGACCAGGCCTCCACTCCCAGGAAGCAACCCGTGACAGCTGACTAACTCCCAGGTACCTATTTACTGCTAGGTAACAGGAGCATCAGGGTGAAAGAAACTCTGCCCATCATTTCTCGCCGGCGCCCGGGACCACAGGATCACGCGTCCAGTGTTCTGTCTGCTCAGCCACCGGCTCCCCTAACATGTACTGTATGTATAAATTTGGCTGCCTGTTCCCTGACAAGTATTTATTATTAATTATGATTTTTTTTGTACAATACAAGCATAAATAAATATAAAATTTATTGACAAGGTGATACAGTATATTATCCCCACTGCAGAACTGTGAAGATTGGCTGTATAGAGTACATTAATTAACACAGTCACATCAGATACTGCATCAATACATGTACTATAATTATGTAAATATTTGACTTGAAATATAAAATGCCCAAGACATCATACCACTGCACTTGTATGCACATGCTGTGTACGTGCATCTGTGTACTTGTAATATGTATTAATACTGTACTATAGTTATATTTGCAATCAGTTATGCTGTAAAAGGTTGATAATGTTAATTAGACTTGAAATTACTATTCCAGAAACACAAGCATACCAACTGAAACATTCACTGCATATCTTGCTACACTTCTCACACAATCCATCCTATTTTAGCACTTTTTAATATTACAGGCATGTAAGCTAAAAATAAATATATTAATAGGTACTTATTATAATACTACTCTATTATCAGCATCTACAAATAATTGATGCTCATTGGTATGAACACAAACAACTTGACCTACATATATGAAAGGAAAGTGATGTCGCTTTGGCCTGGCCTTAAAACTTGGTCAAAACTGTCTAGCCTTCTCAGTAAAGGTCCAGTCCAACCACTTGGGCTGGACGATAGAGGGACGGTCTTGCTTCATGCAGGTCGGCGTTCAATCCCCCGACCGTCCAAGTGGTTGGGCACCATTCCTTTCCCCTCCATCCCATCCCAAATCCTTATCCTGACCCCTTCCCAGTGCTATGTAGCCTTAATGGCCTGGTGCTTTTCCCTTGATAATTCCCTCCCTCAGTAAAGGTCCAGCATAGACTAAAAGCTTGTAATTTTCCTGTCATTTCATACATGTCGATTGGGTTATTTGTTTTGAGCCATGTTATTGTGACTTATTCTTTGCTATGAATGCCTTCCATCAGACTATGTGACATACAGTACTGTACTTGAAAAACTAATATAGGCTTTCATTACCTTTTATCATGTCTAGGAAGTTTGTGTGCACTGATCGACACCAGTTAGAACTTTGGCCAAATGCTGCTTATAACATAATACAGGATTTTTCCATTTGTTAATATGTCAAGCATGGAGAATTTTTCTTATCAATACTTGTAGATAAGTAAATTTATAATTCCCTACCTTACCTGTAGATGAGAAAATCCTGTTCTGTTATAATTAGCACAGTTCTGCCTTCTTATACAGTACTTCTCTGATATCATATTACACATTTTTATTTTGCTGCTAGAATTTGAAGGGTATTTAGCAGTTTTTGGCATGGTATTAATAGCAATGGTAATACTATACTATATGAGCAACCTGAGAATCCTCAATCCTGAAGCCATGCATTCGCCTTGCATACAGAAATGTTTTGCTAATCGTGAATACATGGTAAAATAAATAAAAAGTAAAAAGGTGGATAAATAGCTATATACAGTACTCTGAATTTTGAAAAATGTTAAATTCATGCGAGTAAATTTGTTAAAAGATCAAAAAGAATGTAATATTCTGAATTCTAACTTGTGTTTTTAAATTAAAGTTTGAAGATGTATAACCAGCTACATCTTTTTTGTTTGTTTTCAACGATACCATCCTAGAAGGTATTGTAAGAATGTGACAGTTTTCTTGGCAGGGGGCTTTGGCGTTGGTTCCACTTTTAGTGTGGGACAACTTGTATCGTATTCTAAAACAAATTGAAGGCTTCGGGTTGCTCCCTTCAATGTTCGCACTGACATCCGCTCCACATCCTCAAACCGATCTGTTAATGGGAGTTTTTGTTAGCAACACAGAGGTAAAGAGATGTACAAGTAATACACACGGTAGCATACTGTATTGTGTCCATAGTTAGACATCCAGTTACAATGAAACGGCATACTGTACCTATCAATAGTTAGGTCTGGAAATATCTGTTGGTCTTCTTATATCAATGACTTTTCTGCCAAATCTTCCATGGAAAAACTCAAAATTGAGTCAATGTGAAAAGCACCTTAATGGGCACAGTTATTCAGTTTCTCCATAAGCTAAGAAGCTACTATGCTACACAGGAGCCATGAAAAGTCTAGCATGATAACAGGCATCAGGGCCACAGAGGGCTTTTCAAATGACCCATTGGCCATATGAACTGTTAAGGAGGCAATGAAGAAAAGTTCAGTCCAGGTAAGAATGATCACCAAAGGTACTGCTAAAAGCTGTGTCAAATCCTCACCCCCTTGCAACTGCTTATTTACCAGCCTAGCCAATGCCGCCACGGCTACCAGGCAGCAGCACCAATGGCTACCCAAGGTTCCCAGACCCAAATTATCTCATTCTTCCATCCCTCCACCATAGTAACTGGAGTCTACCACAAATATATGGGCCCTTGTGCAACTTCCGAAGAGACGAGCAGTGCCTGCCTGCCCAAGGATGTAGACAGGAGAGCAGAAGAATTTGTAAATGATCTCTCAGAGTCTCAGAGGGAATAAAATCGTCCCTCTCAATGTTTGCTGATGATGCAAAAATTATGAGGAGGATTAATACGGAGGAAGATAGTATGAGGCTACAAGATGACCTAAACAAACTGAAGGAATGGTCAAACAAATGGCTACTGAAGTTCAACCCAAGTAAATGTAAGGTAATGAAACTAGGGGGAGGAAATAGGAGGCCAGACACTGAATACCGAATGGGAGATGAAGTCCTTCACGAAACGGACAGAGAAAGATCTAGGAGTTGATATCACGCCAAACCTGTCTCCTGAAGGCCACATCAAAAGAATATCAGTGGCCTATGCGAGACTGGCTAACATCAGAACTGCCTTCAGAAACCTGTGTAAGGAATCTTTCAGAACCTTGTATACCACGTGCGAACCCAACATGTAGGCCGTACTTTGTCAAGCACAAAACGAAGCTGGAAAAAGTTCAGAGGTATGCCACTAGGATAGTCCCAGAATTAAGAGGCATGACTTGCGAGGAAAGGCTGCGTGAACTGCACCTCACGTTGCTGGAAGACAGCAGAGCTTGGGGAGACATGATCACCACATACAAAATTCTCAGGGGAGTTGATAGGGTAGACAAGGATGGATTATTTAACACGGGTGGTGCACGAACAAGGGGACACAGGTGGAAGCTGAATACCCAAATGAACCACAAGAGACATTAGAAAGAACGTTTTCAGTGTCAAGAGTAGTTAGTAAATGGAATGCACTAGTAAGAAGTGATGTGGTGGAGACTGACTCCATACACAGGTTCAAATGTAGATATGATGGAGCTTGAGAAGCTCAGGAATCTGTACACAAGTAGATTGACGGTTGAGTGGCGGGACCAAAGCGCCAAAAGCGCAACCCCTGCAAGCACAACTATGTGAGTATAGTTTTGGGAAAACAAATTCAACTTGAGCTGGGAGGTACCATGCTTTATCACCATATCCACTATGGTGGATATCCACTTGATGGAATATCCACAAAGTGGGTTCAAGCCACTGTCATTCAAGGTGAGAAACAATGGGCAAAGTTTCTTTCACCCTATGCCCCTGTTACCTAGCAGTAAAATAGGTACCTGGGTGTTAGTCAGCTGTCACAGACTGCTTCCTGGGGGTGGAGGCCTGGTCGAGGACCGGGCCGCGGGGACACTAAAGCCCTGAAATCATCTCAAGATAACCTCAAGATAAGCCTTTAAATCCTATCTGACAAAGTGATGCAAAAATGGAACAAGAGAGGGGCCGAAGCCAATTAGGACTCGCCACAAGAGGATAAGGATGGGAACCTAGTACTTGTCCAACGTACAAAGCATCCACAGCTGGAGCTCCCAAATCTGAACCCCAAACTGCAATTCCAATCATGATTCTGAGCAGTCGGGAAGAATGTGGAATGATCTGGGTCTGAAAACCTTTGGCACCACCTAGTGGCAGTGGCTAGTTTGCCCAAGCTTGCAAAAACTGTTAAAAAGCCTTCCAAGCCCCTTATATGATCCTGTGGGAATGTTTGAAAAGATCTTCATGATGTTGGAGCCTAAATATCATTCTGGCTGACTTCACAAATCTTGTCTATGACTCACTGGAGTTTTACTTTAGGGAGGAACTGAATACAGTAGCTCAAAATACAACTGTCAATTGCATTTCAAGTGGGAAATATTAGTTCTACTTTGTTGTCAATGGTGTCCTAGAGAAAGCACTCACAACCTACATGTTAATTTTCTGGCAACAATACAAACCAGAATATTTGATTGATTGATAATTAACATTAACTGGTTCTTTAAGTGATTCCTCTCTCAGATACATGTAATGTACTGTACCTTTATACAATTAAGAACTCACCATCCTCATAATCTTCATCGTCGAATGATTCTTGTCTGAACTGACCGCCACATATGACAAGTTCTCTCACCAGAAGGAAAGACCCGCCACATCTCTCTTCATTGGTTGGAATACTGCTGTCGTCCAGAGGCTCTGTACTTTCAGGTACAGCTATTTCTGCTGCACTGCCACCTGCAGTGTTTGCTGTGCTTTTGTCTGCTGTACTGTCATGGTCTGTTATGACTGTTGTACTGTTGGATACAACTGTGTGTGAAGTGCTGTTGTTTTTACTTGTATCTAGTGTATTATCTGCTGCAGTGTCATCAACAGTTGTGTCTGCTGCAGTGCCAGCTACAGTTGTGTCTGTTGAAGTGCTGTCATCTGTAGCCATGTTTGCTGCTGCAGTGCTGTCATCTGTAGCCATGTCTGCTGTTGCAGTGCTGTCATCTACAGCAATATCTGCTGCTGCAGTGCTGTCATCCACAACAGTATTTGCTGCAGTACTGTCATATATAGCCATGTCTGCTGCAGTGTTGTCATCTACAGCCATGTCTGCTGCTGCAGTGCCAGCTACAGTTGTGTCTGTTGAAGTGCTGTCATCTATAGCCATGTCTGCTGCAGTGTTGTCATCTACAGCCATGTCTACTGCTGCAGCGCCAGCTACAGTTGTGTCTGTTGAAGTGCTGTCATCTATAGCCATGTCTGCTGCAGTGTTGTCATCTACAGCCATGTCTGCTGCTGCAGTGCTGTCATCTGTAGCCATGTTTGCAGCAGTGCTGTCATCTGTAGCCATGTTTGCAGCAGTGCTGTCATCTACAGCCGTGCCTGCTGCAGGGCTGCCATCCACAGGTGTGTCTGCTGCAGGGCTGTCATCCACAGCAGTGTCTGCTGCAGGGCTGCCATCCACAGCCATGTCTGCTGCAGGGCTGCCATCCACAGGTGTGTCTGCTGCAGGGCTGTCATCTGTAGCCATGTCTGCTGCTGCAGTGCTGTCATCTGTAGTCATGTCTGCTGCTGCAGTGCTGTCATCTGTAGTCATGTCTGCTGCTGCTGCAGTGCTGTCATCTGTAGTCATGTCTGCAGCAGCGCTGTCATCTACAGCCGTGCCTGCTGCAGGGCTGCCATCCACAGGTGTGTCTGCTGCAGGGTTGTCATCCACAGCAGTGTCTGCTGCAGGGCTGCCATCCACAGCCATGTCTGCTGCAGGGCTGCCATCCACAGGTGTGTCTGCTGCAGGGTTGTCATCCACAGCAGTGTCTGCTGCAGGGCTGCCATCCACAGCCATGTCTGCTGCAGGTCTGTCAACTACAACCGTGTCTGCTGCAGGGCTGCCATCCACAGGTGTGTCTGCTGCAGGGCTGTCATCTGTAGTCATGTCTGCTGCAGGGCTGCCATCCACAGGTGTGTCTGCTGCAGGGTTGTCATCCACAGCAGTGTCTGCTGCAGGGTTGTCATCCACAGCAGTGTCTGCTGCAGGTCTGTCATCCACAGCCGTGTCTGCTGCAGGTCTGTCATCTACAGCCATGTCTGCTGCAGGTCTGTCATCTACAGCCATGTCTGCTGCAGGTCTGTCATCCACAGCCATGTCAGCTGCAGGGCTGCCATCCACAGGTGTGTCTGCTGCAGGGCTATCATCTGTAGCCATGTCTGCTGCTGCAGTGCTGTCATCTGTAGCAATATCTGCTGCTGCAGTGCTGTTATCCACATCCGTGTCTGCTGCTGCAGTGCTGTCATCTGTAGTCATGTCTGCTGCTGCTGCAGTGTTGTCATCTATAGCCATGTCTGCAGCAGCGCTGTCATCTACAGCCGTGCCTGCTGCAGGGCTGCCATCCACAGGTGTGTCTGCTGCAGGGCTGCCATCCACAGGTGTGTCTGCTGCAGGGTTGTCATCCACAGCAGTGTCTTCTGCAGGGTTGCCATCCACAGCCATGTCTGCTGCAGTGTTGTCATCTACAACCATGTCTGATGCAATGCTGTCATCTGTAGCCATGTCTGCTGCTGCAGTGTTGTCATCTACAGCCGTGTCTGCTGCAGGGCTGCCATCCACAGGCGTGTCTGCTGCAGGGTTGCCATCCACAGGCGTGTCTGCTGCAGGGCTGCCATCCACAGCCATGTCTGCTGCAGGGTTGCCATCCACAGAAATGTCTGCTGCAGGATTGCCATCCACAGCAGTGTCTGCTGCAGTGCCATTAACAGTTGTGTTTGTTGTGTCATGTACAGTTGTGTCTGCTGCAGTTTCATATACAGTTGTGTCTGCTGCAGTGCTGGCATCTACAGCTATGTCTGCTGCAGTGCTGCCATCTACAGCTATGTCTGCTGCAGTGCTGCCATCTGCAGCTGTGACTGCTTCCATGTCATGCATTACTGTATTATCCACATTGTTACTAAACCATGACTGATATATCCCAGGAGCCACAGGTGAAGCGGAGCCTTGATGTAAGACAGTGTGTTCTCCAGGTGTGCCTCCAGGTGTGCCTCCAGGTGTGGCAGTGTTGTGTGCACCAACACTGATGCCGGAAGTTATGACAGTCTCCGGCGGCACTGGAGGGCCAGAACCTGCGGCTCCTTCGTCTTCCAGTGCATAATCTCCCAGGATTAACCACTGGATGTTATCATTAAGAAAGTTCTCATCAGACTCATTATTGGTGCTGGATGGAGTTTTGGAATCAGTGCCTTCAACTAGTCCATGTGTCATCATATTGCTTGTGTTTAGGCTTGTCTCTTGACCTGATCCAGAATGGCTTGTAACCAAATCTTCCTCAAATTGTGCATTGTCTATCTTATTTGCTGTCTCCGTTGATGGGCGGGTAGAGTCTGAATATTGGCTTCCAATGACATCATTTACAGGAGGAGATGATGTCCATGTACCTTCTCCACTACTTGCATCATCCCAAGTGTGGTCAACGATCACCAGATTCCCATGCACGTGAACCTTCTCAGGGTCCACCACAGTCAACTCAACATGGGTACTTCCTATACCTGTGTCACTTGTCGCATCTCCCTCCCAGGCATTTGGCACTTTCCAGTCATGTATGACATCAGAGTCATTTATAATATTCGAATTATCTGGCCCATCCGAGTCAATTGAGCTACTAGTTGCATTTGTGTTATTTGCCATATACGAATCATTTATAATATCCGAGTCAATTAATTTGTCCAAGTTACTCGTCACATCCGAGACATTTGGCATGTGAATGTTGCTCATCATATCCAAGCCACTTTTAACAATAGAATCATTTGAGATGCTTATAATTTGTGAATCACTTGTTACATCAGAGTTGATGGTTATTTCAGAGTGACTAGTTTCTTTTAAATTACCTGTTCCACCTGAACCAGGCCCTAACTGTATGTCACTTATATCCATGCCAGTACCTTCATAATCATTACTCTCCACTTCAACTTCCAGCACATCATCGTCATCGCCGTCTCGTATTCCTACCATCACAGTCCCTCCAGATGTCCCTTTTACTAAAACACTTTCATCACCGTATTCCATACTTGTTTCTGACAAAGGCTTCAAGTCATTTGCTAAATAATCTGTAAGGAACTGGTCTTTCATCTTTTCTAGCATTAGGTCTACATTGTTCACATTATCATTGTAGTTCAACGGGCCATACCCCACAGTAGTGCCCTTCATTACTAAAATTTCATGGTCGTTGGAAGTTGGAGCATTTTCATTTAGGGAAACAGGATCCTTATCAAAGGTTGCTGGATTAAAAACATAATGCACTGGATCCTCACTGGAAGTGACTGGGGCCTCGCTGGAAGTGACTGGGGCCTTGTTGGAAGTGACTGGGGCCTTGCTGGAAGCGACTGGGGCCTCGTTGGAAGTGACTGGGGCCTCGCTGGAAGCGACTGGGGCCTCGTTGGAAGTGACTGGGGCCTTGCTGGAAGCGACTGGGGCCTTGCTGGAAGCGACTGGGGCCTCACTGGAAGCGACTGGATCCTCACTGGAAGCGACTGGGGCCTCACTGGAAGCGACTGGATCCTCACTGGAAGCGACTGGATCCTCACTGGAAGCGACTGGGGCCTCACTGGAAGCGACTGGATCCTCACTGGAAGCGACTGGGGCCTCGTTGGAAGCGCCTGGGGCCTCGCTGGAAGCGACTGGGGCCTCGCTGGAGACTGCTGGATCCCAAATGGAAATTGTCGAATTCTTATTAGAGGCTGTTGGATCCACATTGAAGGCTGTTGAATTCTTATCAAAGGTTATGGAATCCTCAATATAAATTGTTTCTTTGTTAAACTTTGATATAATATTATCAAAGTTTTCTGTATTATTATCACCAGAAATTGCCACTTCTTCACCCGAGGGATCATCTTCTTCATCTGTAGTTACTGCAGTCTCACCAGTGTCAGTTACTGTGCCATCACTTCCATATACTGCTGCTCCTTCAGTAGACGTTACTACTCCTTCAGTAGATGTTACTGCTCCTTCAGTAGACGTTACTACTCCTTCAGTAGACGTTACTGCTTCAGTAATTACTGCTCCTTCAGTAGAAGTTACTGTTCCTTCAGTAGACGTTACTGCTCCTTCAGTAGTAGTTACTGTTCCTTCAGCAGACGTTACTGTTCCTTCAGCAGAACTTACTGTTCCTTCAGCAGAAGTTACTACTTCAGTAGTTACTGCTCCTTCAGTAGAAGTTACTGTTCCTTCAGCAGAAGTTACTGCTCCTTCAGTAGAAGTTACTGTTCCTTCAGTAGACGTTACTGCTCCTTCAGTAGTAGTTACTGTTCCTTCAGCAGAAGTTACTGCTCCTTCAGTAGAAGTTACTGTTCCTTCAGCAGAAGTTACTGCTCCTTCAGTAGAAGTTACTGTTCCTTCAGCAGAAGTTACTGCTCCTTCAGTAGAAGTTACTGTTCCTTCAGCAGAAGTTACTGCTCCTTCAGTAGAAGTTACTGCTCCTTCAGTAGAAGTTACTGTTCCTTCAGCAGAAGTTACTGCTCCTTCAGTAGAAGTTACTGTTCCTTCAGCAGAAGTTACTGCTCCTTCAGTAGAAGTTACTGTTCCTTCAGCAGAAGTTACTGCTCCTTCAGTAGACGTTACTGTTCCTTCAGCAGAAGTTACTACTTCAGTAGTTACTGTTCCTTCAGTAGACGTTACTGTTCCTTCAGTAGACGTTACTGTTCCTTCAGTAGACGTTACTGTTCCTTCAGTAGACGTTACTGTTCCTTCAGTAGACGTTACTGTTCCTTCAGTAGACGTTACTGTTCCTTCAGTAGACGTTACTGTTCCTTCAGTAGACATTACTGTTCCTTCAGTAGACGTTACTGCTCCTTCAGCAGACGTTACTGTTCCTTCAGTAGACGTTACTGTTCCTTCAGCAGACATTACTGTTCCTTCAGTAGACGTTACTGTTCCTTCAGCAGACGTTACTGTTCCTTCAGTAGACGTTACTGTTCCTTCAGCAGAAGTTACTGTTCCTTCAGCAGACATTACTGTTCCTTCAGTAGACATTACTGTTCCTTCAGTAGACGTTACTGTTCCTTCAGTAGACGTTACTGTTCCTTCAGCAGAAGTTACTGCTCCTTCAGTAGACGTTACTGTTCCTTCAGCAGAAGTTACTGCTCCTTCAGCAGAAGTTACTGCTCCTTCAGCAGAAGTTACTGCTCCTTCAGCAGAAGTTACTGCTCCTTCAGCAGAAGTTACTGCTCCTTCAGCAGAAGTTACTGCTCCTTCAGTAGAAGTTACTGCTCCTTCAGTAGACGTTACTGCTCCTTCAGTACTAGTTACTGTCATTTCACCAGAAATTGTTATATCAGCAGCTGAAGTTACAAGAGCTTCACTATGAGGCGTCACAGTGTTATTATTGTGAGAAGTTAGTGTGGTGTGAGCAGCAGGTGTTCTGAGCGTGACGTGAGCTTCAGCAGGCGCACCACTTGAGCCCTTGTCCGGCTCTTGAAGCAGCCCTTCACCGCCACCTGGAGCAGTCACAGCTGTAACCACTTGCCCTTCCACAGCTATGTTGTCTCTCATGGGAAATGTTGTTGCAGAGGGAGAGTTGGATGTACTCGAGTCATGAGAATTGTTTACCTTTGTTTCCTCCATCATCTCTGGAAGGTTCATAAGTTCTTCTCTGTCATTGATGCTCGCATCATCCACCTTGACGTCATTGTCTTTAAGTTTGAAGCTATTTGTGCGAGATGGTACGCCAGAGTGTGCTGTCTTGTCAGAGGAAGAGAGTGAACTGTTGTTGTTGTTAATGAGTGTGTGTTGGAGCTGCAGTTGCTGGACAACACGCTGGATCTGGCTGATGACAGCCTCGTTACCTTCAGAGTAGAGAATGGGAAGAACGTCGTGGACACTTTCTGTTGCCATGTCTTCCTCGTCTTCACGGGTGTCTGTTGGACTCTGATCGCTGGACTCAGTCTTCATGGTTGTTGCACCTTCCTTCATGTTGCTGCTCAACTGTGTGCTGGTATATGGCTCCAGCAGGGTGAGAGGAATGCTGTTGTGGGTCTGACTAGTGCCACCTTCTCTCAGGTCAGCCTCAGACCGGACATCCTCCACGGCTTTTGAGACTTGACTAATTACATCAGAGAAAGCATTATTAACTTCCTTTCCAAACACTTCTGGCAAGGAAGAGCTGTGTCCATTATGTTCGTAATTTTCTGAACTTCGTCCAAATCGATTCCCGTTCTTTGATTTTGTCCCTTTTTTCTTAATAAGATCACTTCGGTGACGGTACGATAAAGACTGATCCAGTTCAATGTTGGTGAATTTACGGTTGCATTGATCATCAGTTTTCTGTGATCTGTAATTATAATTGAGTTGCATGATTATGGGACATCAATATCCGACATTTTATACGTATACTATATTTTGTTTTCAGAACATAGTACTTATGACCAGCAAAGCAAATATTTCATGTATATGCAATCTTATTTATACTTTTATATATTTTAAATTGCTCAAACTACTGTACTGCGATGCTTCCCCCTTTACACCACTCATAGAACTTGTAGATCATGAGACTTGGGAGGAATGGTAACCATTGTACCATTAGAGTACATTGTACATGTACTCTAAGTCTGTACAATTTGTGATCATTGTGGGGCACTCAAGATTGATGAAACGATATCTTGAAAGGATTACTGCAAGACTGTACTGAAATGGGACCGCGGCTCGGTCGAGAACCGGGCCGCCCGGACGCTAAGCCCCGAAATCATTCCAAGGCAAGTGTGACCGATGAATATGCACATGTACTTACACTGTAACCCTACAGTGTAACATACACACTGTAACCCTACAGTGTGCCATACACACTGTAACCCTACAATAATGAGAGCAATAACGACAGCCCATAATGTCCACTGGTGTGTCTACGTATCCTCACCTGGCCAGCTTACTGAAGCAGATATCGTAGTTGAGCTCGTCCCTGAAGTCCCCGCCATAGTTGAGTGACCGTACCTCAGACGAGGGCTCCCGGTGGTATTGAAGGCACCCCGGGGGAGCTGTGGGCACATCCTACATGTCAATTATTGTCATTTTAACAGCAAAAAAACTTAGAATACCCGTGTAAAACATCTGCCTTGGTGCAAGGTATCAGCCCCAGCTACTCGGAGGACAAAGATGATTATATAATGGGTAAATGGATACATAAAGTCTTGTTAATGGACCAGGATGAATAGAAATTTAGTCGACTTGATTATTATCAAGACGAGAAGATGTTGCTTCTGCTAGTGGGACACCTAAGACTTTGTAGATAAAGTAAGGTGAATGTAAGTGCATCCTGGGATGATGATTGTGTTCGTCGGTCACTGTAACTACAGTGTGGAAGGGCACCGAGAGACCTGGTTAGTGGTCGAGGTGAACTGTGCAAGGATTTGGTTCAGGAACTGAAGTGTTGAGGACTGTATACACCAAATAATTTAGTGGTCTCTACAGTGGGAATCTCTGGATAAAGCGTGAATGAATGTAGGAACAGTATTTCTATAGTACGGAGTTTACAGGTACTTTATATATAATATATATATAATTATATAAAATATATATATATATATATATATATATATATATATATATATATATATATATATATATATATATATATACACATATATATATTCATATATACATATATATATACATATATTATATAATATATGTATATTATATATATATATACAAGAAGGTACATTGGGGTTGTGAGAGTACATAACATTGGTGTTCTTTACAGTCTTGTAAAGCCACTAATACTCATAGCGCTTCGCGTGGGTAAACTGAAGCAGTACAATAATTAAAATAATTAGTATTTCAGTGAAAAGGTGAGCCATCTGACGAAGTATAAATTACTTTAACTATCATTTTTGGGAAATAGTAACGGTGGTTAATTGTGATTCGTCAGTGAAGAGCAATTATAGTAACAAGATAACTTTGAAATACTATTCAGCTGAAAGGAAACTCTAAGGACTAATTAAGCCCGATTTCAGTATCTTGTGCTGCAACTATGAGAGACCAAGCTTAGAGGACCCGAGAATAAGTTGTACTCTAGCTGGGGGCCTGCAGGTTCTCCTTGACCCAAGATCATACAGTGCCGAGACTCAAGAATCAACCAGCGGGTACAAAAAGACCGCGAAGTGCTAAGATTCTTTGGATCAGTCGTCCTGTTTACCGAGACTGTGAAGACCATTGTTGGCGGGAGTTCAACACAAGGTGCCAAGATGCTCAGCGGATCGGAAAAGAGCAGACTGGACAGTTCTTACTGACGACTGTGCCAGAGCAGAGGGTAATGGTGGTCTTGGCGCTTATCTCTCACCAACAGGCCTAGTGCAAGGCGCTAGAACAGGCTATATGGGGGTGGGGGCAAACTACCAGGGTTGTCCCAAGTACTAACCACGGAGGGCGGTTTGGGGCGAGTGAGATAACTGGAAAATTAGGCATAAAGAAAATGGGTTCGATACGGTAATGAGAAACTGTGCGAGAGAAGGTTCTTTAGGATGGTCAAAACATTTGCTCTTCCACTGTTCCTCTGAGTCATAGGCTCTATCGCGTCCCTCAAACACTTTGGCGAATCTAAGTCCCTTGACATTTGTCATCTTCTCTTTCTGCGCTAGTATTTGCATCCTGAATTATATCTAGTTACTTTTAAATATTATGTACCACTGTTATACAGCCTTCCAGGCTACGCCCTTTCTTTTGAAAATTACTTAAACGATTTTCCAAATTATCTTGTTGCTATCTTGAGTGATTTTAATACGTTTCTCAACAATTTTTTTAATAGTGTGAAAATTTTCTAATGATACTGTTCACTCGTGTGTGACTCATTAATATGGAGAATGTGGCCAACACCAAGGCCTCGCCACACCCTGCTAACACTACCTTTGCTTCAGTGTCTCAAATAATTTTCGCTGATGCTAAACATATTTCCTTTCAAATTACAATGTTCTAATTCATCTTAGGATAACTCCTTTGTAGGAAGCAGCTGAGAAATGACATCAATTGCGAGGACACCCTGAGGCAAGGTGCCACATTAATATGAGGCAAAGTGAGCCACCACAGTATGAGGCGAGGCGAGGCACCATAGTATGAGGTGACAAGAGCCACCACAGTATGAGGCGAGGCGAGGCACCACAGTACGAGGCGAGAAGAGCCACCACAGTATGAGGCGAGGAGAGGCACCATAGTATGAGGCGAGGAGAGGCACCACAGTACAAGGTGAGAAGAGTCACCACAGTATGAGGCGAGGAGAGGCACCACAGTACAAGGTGAGAAGAGTCACCACAGTATGAGGCGAGGAGAGGCACCACAGTACAAGGTGAGAAGAGCCACCACAGTATAAGGCGAGGCGAGGCACCATAGTACGAGGTAAGAAGAGCTACCACAGCATTAAGCGAGGCGAGGTACCTGCATACTGAGCGGTGAGGTGGGTAATGAGGACCCGCCACTGACGTAGAGGCACGGCGGCGGCAGCGTCGTCGTGACGAGCGAGGTCCTGGGCCTCCAGCACCACCTTCACCTCCACCTCCCCGTCACCAACCTCCACGTACACTGTCACCATACCAACACATCAATATTAGTACACAACAAAATTAACACACATCAAATATATGGAGAAAATCAGCAGGAGCTCTGACGGGCCTCGAACCCCCGATGGAGAGAATCCCAGCCGCTGATCGCTGAACTATCCTGATGATAAATATCATAAAAAGTCAAAGTAAAAAAAGTGGTTAGCGTCAGAGGCTGGGATTCTCTCGGTCACGGGTTCGAGGTACTTCAGAACTCCAGTTTTTTCTAACATATATATCATATTACTTTGATTTTTGTATCAAATATAATTACAATAAATAGATAATACCATCAAAGACAAACCCATTTACATAAAGAAAATTATGTATTACACAACCATTTCTGGCAATTGGCAACTTTTAATGTACAAGTATAATGTACAAGTTACCACAAGTCCAGCGTTATACCTAATGAAAGACTTCATGCGGGTAGCTTGGTAGTCCCGAGGCTTGGAGGCTACTGGTAGCCGCGGCCAGCTATTGGCGGACTATGGAGGTGACTCCCAGTACCCACCCTCACACCCGTACTATAGTGTCGTCATCTTCACACCTGACACCATCACACACAACCTTACCGTCACCTCACCACCACAACACCCCTCCTCCACACTCACCACAACACCCCCCCCCACACACACTCACCACAACACCCCTCCCCCACACACTCACCACAACACCCCTCCCCACACACTCACCACAACACCCCTCCCCCACACACTCACCACAACACCCCTCCCCACACACTCACCACAACACCCCTCCCCCACACACTCACCACAACACTCCTCCCCCACACACACACACCACAACACTCCTCCCCCACACACACACACCACAACACTCCTCCCCCACACACAAACCACCCCTCCCCACCACACCCACCGCAGCCACCACCTGCGCCACAATAACTCACCGTGTTGTCTGGAGTTGTCACCACACAGAGGCGGAGCCAATAGGACGGGCTGGTGGCTCCTGCCGAGGGAGGGGCGGCTGAGGGTCAGGGCGTCCCCCTCACACCGCCCCCGGCGAGGACCCGCCAGCTCCAGCAACTCAAAGTCCAGACGAACTTGTTTCACCTGTCGGAACGTGCAGCGGGTCAGTCAGGGTCAAGCGCCAGAAACAGACTAGAGTTCGCTGGGAGAAGAGGTCAAGCAAGGTCACTGTTATAGGAATAAATTCGGGTGGATATAAATAGCATGTGTTGATTGACCAGACCACACATTAGAAGGTGAATGGACGACGACGTTTCGGTCCGTCCTGGACCATTCTCAAGTCAATCGACTTGAGAATGGTCCAGGACGGACCGAAACGTCGTCGTCACTTCACCTTCTAGTGTGTGGTCTGATCAGCATACTTTAGCCACGTTATTGTGACTCATCGCCTGCAGCAGGTGTAGAGTTTGGCCCAATAGGCCTTCTGCAGTTACCTTAAGATTTATGCTATGTTAAAATTGTCTGTTGGCTATTGATTTACATGGTTACCGAATGGTAAACAGTGTGATGCAGGCTGGGATACCGGAACTCTTCGCAACCTATCAAGCCAGAGGACACACACACACACACACACACACACACACACACACACACACACACACACACACACACACACATGATGAGGTGGAGCAGGAAAGGCGAATTTCGAGGTGGGGGCAGATTAAGAATAAAATACAATGAGTAGAGGAAAAGGTTGATGAGTCTAAGTACTCACCTCCGGGGCGGACTTCTTCACCCTGATGACACATTCGTCCGAGTCACGTGACCCTGCCGGAAAGTCCCTGTTGACGAACCATGTCCTGTTGTGACGCGCCGTCTCCCCACACACCGTCGGTACTGTGGGCGAGGCATAGTGGGGAGTGAGAGGGAGGGTGTGGGGAGTAGTGCAGGTCATTCCCCCATGACCTGCACTACTAGTTCGTGTTCTATCATGTGCAAATGTCAATCACGTCATCCAAAACTTTTGTGCCATATCACCTCACCCAAAGCGAGTATAAGTATGGATGTATTTTGTGTGTTTACAGGTTACAGTTGTGTGTGTAAACTAAAATCTTGGAATATGTAATAAGTTATTACGAAACGCGTTCAGGCGTCAGACTAGAAATAAAAATGAATTTTGGAGAATTGATTTTTCAATTTTTTCTTCATATTTTCATTTCTTTCATTTTGTTTTATTTTTTCTTCATCGACAGTGAAGAGAAACATAAGAAATACTGAGAAAATTCGTGTTAGAATATATATATATATATATATATATATATATATATATATATATATATATATATATATATATTATATATATATATATATATATATATATATATATATATATATATATATATATATATATATATATATATTGTGACGGTAACGCGTTGGTGTTCGGCTGTTTAAGGCTAGGGGTATGGCCTCGTCACATAGTTATAAAAAAAAATAGAAAAACTGGAACTTCGTCTGTGGTAAGGTAAGGAGAAGACACACAAAACACAAGTAAAACTTTAACAATGAAATTTTAATTACGTTAAATAAATCAAAACATGAAAATAATGCACAAACAAATTCTTATAATAAAATCAATGAATCAAAATAATAAGAATACTTAAATGACACAATGAAAGTTACGTTAAGGCAAAATAACAAGAAGTGCAACAAAAGTTAAGTGGGAGGTGCTGGAATATTGGCTTAAAGCCACCACCTCTCTCAGTACACGCTAACGTCTAGCTGGGAGGAGTGCTGGCTACGAAAGCACGGAACATTCTGAAGACTGATGTTGGGGCGACCCCAGACATCGGGTAGTATGGGGGGGCGAGTGCAGGTGCAGCCAGACCGGCGACCAATCAGCGGAGTCGTAGCGATCAACGGGTAGTTTGGTGGTTGGAGTTCGAACAGGTGGCTGGATGCATACGTTTCTGCTCACCCTGGCAAGCCTTGCTGGTGCTGGTGTTGTTGTCGTTGTTGGACATTTCTTCCATAGTCTTTTTATATAATTGTGAAGACGTAATTATGAAGGGAAGAGCAGGCTCAATCTCTTGAAGGAGATTATCGTCACATAATTATAAATAAATTATTAATTTTATTATTTATAATTTAATAAATTATCTATTATTTGACGATTATCGTCATGTCGTCACATGTGACGATAATCTCCTTCAAGAGATTGAGCCTGCTCTTCCCTTCATAATTACGTCTTCACAACTATATAAAAGACTATGGAAGAAATGTCCAACAACGACAACAAACACCAGCAAGGCTTGCCAGGGTGAGCAGAAACGTATGCAACCAGCCACCTGTTCGAACTCCAACCACCAAACTACCCGTTGATCGCTACGACTCCGCTGATTGGTCGCCGGTCTGGCTGCACCTGCCTCGCCCCCCCCCAATACTACCTGATGTCTGGGGTCGCCCCAACATCAGTCCTCAGAATGTTCCGTGCTTTCGTAGCCAGCACTCCTCCCAGCTAGACGTTAGCGTGTACTGAGAGAGGTGGTGGCTTTAAGCCAATATTCCAGCACCTCCCACTTAACTTTTGTGTTGCACTTCTTATTATTTTGCCTTAACGTAACTTTCATTGTGTCATTTAAGTATTCTTATTATTTTGATTCATTGATTTTATTATACATATTTGTTTGTGCATTATTTTCATGTTTTGATTTATTTAACGTAATTAAAATTTCATTGTTAAAGTTTTACTTGTGTTTTGTGTGTCTTCTCCTTACCTTACCACAGACGAAGTTCCAGTTTTTCTATTTTTTTTTATAACTATGTGACGAGGCCATACCCCTAGCCTTAAACAGCCGAACACCAACGCGTTACCGTCACAAGTTTTATGGGGGCCTGTCCTAGGAGCCTCACTCAGGTACTGGTGCCAAGTGGTAATTTATGGTAAGCGTATTTAACTCTGTTAACGTAGCTTTACTATTTTTCATTCAATTTCATTTTTTATAAGGTGCGGTGTATTGTGCATTACGAGAGTAACATATAGTGAAGGTGAGACAACTTTGGATTACGTGGTGACTGTAGGCCTCAGTCATACTCTTAATTGGTCATCTCTCCCTCCATGTTATTACTCGTATTTACCATCTATGTCCCTTGAATATTTCTCATTCTGACAGATCATCATATTGGTACCCTGGTACTGTGGTCTGCCCCGGGTCAAGAGTACCCAATCTTCTGCAATCTGACTGTAGGAGGACAAAGAGGGCCATAGTTCCTCTAGCTCGAACTTTAGTTGCTGAATTGGGACCTCAGCAGCAGTTCTCGTCACCAGTTGACACCTCGCACCCCTACACGTCAGTCAGAGATGATGATACATACAACGGTAGGGAATTAGCTTATTTTTTCAGAGCACAAAAGTTCGCTAATTCTGTAAGTATCATATTAAATTCAGTAGGAAAAACTTGCTTTATGTCCTATAGAGACTCGGCAAGGTATGCCTACATCCTTGGACTACCAATTTTACTTTTGAAGCATTTAACTGTTTCATTTGTTTTCGAAACTTTGTTTCATTTGTTAGTAGGATTTTCTTGCCCTTATTCTCTTACATGAGTACCGGGTACAAGATTTCCTGCGCCCTTGATTTCATTTAATCATTTAATATCTTTCACTTAACGTTAATTGTTAAAGATCACACAGGATAGGTACCAGTTGCCACGTTGTC